CCCATCGCGCCACTGCACTCCCTGTGCACTGGTCGGCTTCATTCATTCATTCGACAAAACTCTACAGCTCGAACACCTTCCACGTTACAGGCAGTGTTCCAGGCGCTGTGGATACATATGTGCCAAATAAGCAAGTACAACAGATGATGTGTGTCAGGTGCTGGTAAGGGCTATTGAGGAAAAGCAAGATGAAAAGGGTGCTGAGAATCCGGGTTGCAATTAAGAACAAACTCACTGGGGCGGGCGCGGTGGCTCACGCCTGTAATCTTAGCACTTTGGGAGGCCTAGGCAGGCGGTTCACGTGAGGTCACGAGTTCGAGCCCAGCCTGGCCAACTTGGTGAACCTTCGTCTCTACTAAAAAAAAATGCAAAAATTAGCCGGGCCTGGTGGCACGTGCGTGTAATCCCAGCTAACTCGAGAGGCTGAGACAGGAGAATCACTTGAACCTGGCAGGTGAAGACTGCAGTGAGCCACTGTACTCCAGCCTGGGCGGCAGAGTGAGACTCTGTCTCACAGGCTGGAGTAAAAAGGCACACTGCAATAATAAGAAGATGAGGTCAGAGTGAAAGGGAGGCAACAAGATCACATAAGACCTTGTAAGTCATTGTAAGAATTCTGGGACTGAGCACTCTTGCCTACAATCCCAGCACTTTGGGAGGTGGGATAGCTTGACACCAGGAGTTCAAGCCCAGCCTGGGCAAGATAGCAAAACACTGCTTCTAAAATACAAAAAATTAATTAGCAGGGCATGTGGTGGTGCACACCTGTAGAGTCCCAGCTACTCGGGAGGCCAAGGCAGCAGTATCGCTTGAGTCCAGGAGTTCGAGGCTGCAGTGATTACCACCACTGTACTCCTTGGGTGTACAGCGTGGGTGACACAGCAAGACCTTGTCTAAAAAAAAAAAAAAAAAGAAAAAAAAAAAAGAAAATAGGGAAAGGCTGACAACGAAAGAAATGAGTGGTCACTGACTGGTCACAGCACTTTCCAGGGAACAGCCCCGTCCACATGGCCCTTCTCTAAGAATTGTCAACTCTAAGATTTCCCTGAGCTTCCACACCTAGCACAACCCTGGCAGTGCTGACCGGTATTTGTTCTACTGGAGTTCTCTTTTGTTTGTTTGTTTGGGATGGAGTCTCGCTCTGTCCCCAGGCTGGAGTGCAGTGGCGCGATCTCGGCTCACTGCAACCTCCACCTCCCTGGTTCAAGCGATTCTCCTGCCTCAGCCTCCCGAGTAGCTGAGACTACAGGCACCCGCCACCACACCCGGCTAATTTTTTTGTATTTTTAGTAGAGACAGGGTTTCACCGTGTTAGCCAGGACGGTGTTGATCTCCTGACCTCATGATCCACCCGCCTCAGCCTCCCAAAGTACTGGGATCACAGGCGTGAGCCACCGCGCCCGGCCTCCCCTGCCTTTTAACCTTCCATAATGTACACCTCTTGCAATTTGGCCTCTGTGATTCCCGGAAGCTTCAACTATTCCAGATTTCACATTTACTTTGAAACTCCAAAGTTACATGGATTTTGGTTTTGTTTTTTTTTTCCTTTTTTTTTTTGAGACAGAGTTTCACTCTTGTTGCCCAGGCTAGAGTGCAATGGCACGATCTCAGCTCACTGCAACCTCTGCCTCCCTGCAACCTCCACCTCCCGGGTTCAAGCAATTCTCTTGCTTCAGCCTCCCTAGTAGCTGGGATTACAGGCGCCCGCCACCTCGCCAGGCTGATTTTTGTTTTGTTTTTGTTTTTGTTTTTTGAGACGGAGTCTCCCTCTGTCACCAGACCAGAGTGCAGTGGCACCATCTTGGCTCACTGCAACCTCCAACTCCCTGGTTCAAGCAATTCTCCTGCTTCAGCCTCCTGAGTAGCTGAGATTACAGGCATGTGCCACCATGCCCAACTAATTTTTGTATTTTTAGTAGAGATGGGGTTTCACCATGTTGACCAGGATGGTCTCTATCTCCTGACCTCGTGATCTGTCTGCCTCAGCCTCCCAAAGTGCTGGGATTACAGGCATAAGCCACTGCGCTCAGCCTAATATTCGTATTTTTGGTAGAGATGGGGTTTCACCATGTTGGCCAGGCTGGTCTCGAACTCCTGACCTAAGGTAATCCACCCACCTCGGCCTCCCAAAGTGCTGGGATTACAGGCATGCGCCACCACGCCCAGCCTGGATTTTCTATGTTAGCAGGAAACTAGGTTCCTATCTGGTGGGCCTTAAGTCACAGTGGCTACAGGGAGAAAACAGAGTATGAAGAAAGGTCATTACTAATCCAAAGCCATTCATCATCATACTACAATACTACTAACATGGCCACTACTCTAGCCAGTTTACTATGTGCAGAGCGCCATGCTAAATCCTTTCCATGTATCCCTCATGGCAGTCCTATGAAGGATACCCTGTTGTCCTCCCCATTTAACAGAGAGGTTAAGAAATGTGAAACGAAGCCGGATGCGGTGCCTCACACGGTAATCCCACCACTTTGGGAGGCTGAGGCAGGCAGATCACGAGGTCAGGAGTTCAAGACCAGCCTGAGCAACATGGTGAAACCCCATCTCTACTAAAAATAGAAAAAAATTAGCCGGATGTGGTGTTGGGCACCTGTAGTCCCAGCTACTCGGGAGGCTGAGGCAGGAGAATGGTGTGAACCCGGGAGGTGGAGCTTGCAGTGAGGTGAATCATGCCACTGCACTCCAGCCTGGGCGACAGAGCAAGACTCCGTCTCAAAAAAAAAATGTGAAACGAGGCCGGGTGCGGTGGCTCACACTTGTAAGCCAGGGGTTTGAGACCAGTCTGGCCACCATGGCGAAACCCTGTCTCTACTAAAATTACAAAAACTAGCCGGACGTGGTGGCAGACACCTGTAATCCCAGCTACTAGGGAGGCTGAGGCAGGAGAATCACTTGAACCCGGGTAGCAGAGGTTGCAGTGAGCCGAGATCATGCCACTGCACTCTGGCCTGGGTAACAGAGTGACACCCTGTCAAAAAAGAAAAGAAAAGGTGAAACGAGCCACTCTGCTCTTAACTAGAGAATCAACCCAGGCTACCTGGTTCCTTCCTGAACCCTGTGCTTAATCACAGCCCTGTGCTGCCTGCCAGTTCCTCTTCAGTCCTAGGAAAAAAGTGGAGGGGAAGTGGAGAAGCAGGCAATCCCTTTCTCCGCTCATCATCCCAGTTATGACTTATTAGTTGAAACAGGGTCTCACTCTGTCACCCAGGCTGGAGTGCAGTGGCATGACCATAGCTCACTGCAGCCTTGAACTCTGGGCTCAAGCGCTTCTCTCACCTCAGTCTCCTGAGTAGCTAGCACTACAGGCATAGCCACCCTGCCCGGCTAATTTTCTTCTTTTATTATTTGTAGAGACTGAGTCGCACTATGTTGCCCAGGCTGGTCTCAAATTCCAGGCCTCAAGAGATTTTCCTGCCTCAGCCTCCCGAAGTGTTGGGATTACAGGTGTGCGTCACTGTGCCCAGCCATAAGGTCATTTTATATTCTATTGTCTACCACCATCACTACAATCACTACCATATGCTGAGCCAAGTCCTGCAAACCGCAGAGCTTAGGGCTCAGAATCCCCAGGATCCTGGGGGCAGTGAATCTGGGAGGGGTCATGCCCCCGGACCAGGGATTGACCAAGGATAATCGAAAGGAAACCTAGCCCAGAAATTCCAAGAGAGCATGCTGCAGAGCCAGACACCTTCATGTGCCCCCTGCAAGATGATCTGGCCCCGAGAGAGGAGCGGACCAGAGGGTACACCTGAGAGCAGAGGCAACTTAGGAAGTCCAGGGACAGTCCTAACTCTGGATAGCAAAGATTTAATTTCAAGCATAAGGCAGCCCTGGAAAAGTAACTGACTGCCACTGAGTATTGATGAAGCTAGCACTTACTGCAGGCTGTGGCGGGCACAGTTCCAAACAAGAGCCCCGTTCTAAAGATGGGGAAACTGAGGTATGGGCATTTAGACATCTCAGACCTTACTTCAGGGCCGCTGGACAGGGGTCAGGCAGGCCCTGGAGGACAGGTAGTCATGGGAGAGAAGGCAGAGGGACTGGGGCAGGGGATTGGTGGGGTGGTCAGTTCTGGGGCCTGAGCTGAAGGAGTCGGGAGCGGGGCGTGGCGTGGCGTGGCGTTTCCACGCCGATGGATTTTAGACATCTGTTTCGGGGCGGGGGGGCGAGTCCACCGAGGATGCTGAGTCATGTTGACCAGCGAAGGCGAGGGGCCCGCGCCTCTGGGGCTCCGTGGAGCTGCCGGGATTGGCTCACCGTCTCAGGGGAGGCCACGGAGCAGGTGTAGGCGGGGTTGAGCGCGGATGGGGCGCGGCGCGGGGGGAGGTGCGCACGCGTGTGCGTGTAGGCCGGCACGTCCAGGTGGGCTGGGCGAGCGCTTGTGCGCATGTCCCCGCGCAGGGTCGGGCGCTGGAGTGCGGAGACCAAGCCTTGCAGACACAGAGCCTTGCAAACACCCGGGTCCGCACGTCTGGGATGGACGTGGTGAGTGCACGTGCGCATGCGCTGCGTAAGGCTGTGCGCATGCGCACACCGGGAGTGGTGCGTGGAGGAGCCGCTTCCTCACCACGCACCCAAGAGCACTAGAGCTTGTACCTGTTGGCTTTACTGTACGCGACCGACTCTTGTCGTTTTGGCGCTTCATTACCAGAGCCCCGAATCCTTTGCTAGGTGCTTAAAAACATTTTCTTCAGTGTACATAGGTGTTTCCACGAGAATAAAAAGCTTTACACTGGGGCCGGGCGCGGTGGCTCAAGCCTGTAATCCCAGCACTTTGGGAGGCCGAGACGGGTGGATCACGAGGTCACGAGATCGAGACCATCCTGGTTAACACGGTGAAACCCCGTCTCTACTAAGAAATACAAAAAAAACTAGCCGGGCGAGGTGGCGGGCGCCTATAGTCCCAGCTACTCGGGAGGCTGAGGCCGGAGAATGGGCGTGAAACCGGGAGGTGGAGCTTGCAGTGAGCTGAGATCTGGCCACCGCACTCCAGCCTGGGCGACAAAGCGAGACTCCGTCTCAAAAAAAAAAAAAAAAAAAAAAGCTTTACATGTATTTGAGGCCTGCTTGGGCCTACGCGCATCTCCACCGTAGTGCTAATCCCTTCCCAGTCCTTGGACAGCCTCAATGATGTATTTAATAGTATTCTTTTAGCCCAACGCGAGAGCCTTTTCGTCTGGTTGTTTTTGTTTTTCGTTTTTAGAGACAGAGTCTTGCTCTATTACCCAGGCTGGAGTGCAGTGGCAAGATCTCGGCTCACTGCGGCCTCGAACTCCTGGACTCAAGTGATCCTCCCACCTTGGCCTCCCAAAGTGCTGGAATTCCAGGTGTGAGCCGCTACACCCGGCCTCTAGTTCTATTTTTTTTTTTGCTCAGTATTAGAATTCGTAAGTTCTGGCCGCGGCAACACGTCCTTTCATCTGTCTCAAGTTGCACTGTGGTGGTCACAGGACCTGTCCTGCACCTTGCACATGTGGCCATGAACAAGATTCGCTCCTTGCTCTCATGAGGCCTTCATTCCAGTGAGACACAAATGCAAACACAAAATTCCAGAAGAGTGCTAAGTGCTGTCATGAGGAACGAAACCAGGCTGGAAGATGGGCTCTAACCCCAGAAAACTGATGGAGAGGCCCAAGCAGCCTTGGGAGCAACAGGTAGGCAAGTTGGAGGACACATGGCAAGGCTACTTGGAAGTAGGGGAGGGTGCATGGGAAACTCTGAGGCTGTAGGGGGAGAGGCAGGAGCCAGATGAAGTCCAGGTAGATAGCAGTGGAGATGTAAGAACATGGTGGAATTTTTTTTTTTTTTTTTTTTTTTTTGAGATGGAGTCTTGCTCTGTCGCCCAGGCTGGAGTGCAATGGTGAGATCTCAGCTCACTGCAACTTCCACCTCCCGGGTTCAAGTGATTCTCCTGCCTCAGCTTCCTGAGTAGCTGGGATTATAGGCACCCACCACCATGCCCAGCTAATTTTTGTATTTTTTAGTAGAGACGGGGTTTCACCATGTTGGTCAGGCTAGTCTCGAACTCCTGACCTTGGGTGATCCACCTGCCTCGGCCTCCCAAAGTGCTGGGATTATAGGTGTGAGCCACAGCACCTGGCTAGAACATGGTGAAATTTGAGTGTGCTTGGGAATACGCTTATAGGACTTGTTGATCAGTTGAATGAGGAAATGAAAAAATGAAGAATATCTTCTGGGATTTCAGCCTGAGCAACTGGGTTGCTGGCGGATGCTGGTTCTCTTATCAAGGATGGGAAAGATGGGTTGTCTCCCCTAAAATACTGAGTTTTAAAGGCAGGGACTGTTATCTTTGCAGTCTTGGCTCCTAGCAAGGGCCTAGCCCTTATGTGACATTAGTGAATGTTGAAATGAATGTGACATGCCTCAAACAATCCTGCTCCCTCACCTAGGCCCACATCTTCAAGTCAGTATTCCAGTACAAGCCACATCCAGTCCCCTCACCGACACACAGAGGCCTGGGCTCAGGAGCTCACCCCTGTGCTGTAAGGCCAGGTGCATGTGTTACTTCCAGAGCCTACCCTTGGAGATGCCTCATACTCCTGGGTACCTGTGGCTGGGAGGTAGCCAGTCATGCTGTCCACATACATGCTTTTGGGCAGTGGAGAAGCTGATCATTGGGAAGGTTTATTTCCTGTCTCCACATTAGGAGGCAGGTTATAGCAGTGGCCACACGGTGCACAAAAGGCCATCCCCTAACAGCCCCATGGTTGGCATGCAGCATCTCAGCCTTCAAACTGGAAGCCCCCCGCTATCCAAGGAGCCCCCAGGTGGGAAAGGAAGGTCACAAGCCTCCCAAGTACCTCAGATGGGCTGAGGCCTGTGAGGCCCCTGCAGTAGGTCAGGTGTAGCATCTACTCAGCTTCCCTCCCCACTCATTCGCACACAGCCAGAGCTATGGGGCTCCTGCCCTCTGGCCTCCAGCACTGCTGTGAATCAGAACTAGTCAAGAGAACTGGGTGCTTGTGTTCAACGGGAACACACTTGAATAAAATACGGGCCCTTTTTTTTTTTTTTTTTTTTTTTTTAAAGAGATGGGGTCTATGTTGCCCAGGCTGGTCTTGAACTCCTGGCCTCAAGCAGTCCTCCCAGGTGAGCCTCCCAAATTGCTGGGATTACAGGTGTGAGCCAGTACACCCGGCCCCTGCTAGCTTTTTAATATGGACTTCCAGTGTGTTCTTCAGCACGCTCAGGCAACATGGCTGTTACTGAGCAACTTTGTCTTGAGGTGCATTTGGAAGGCTCTGGGACTTGGTCCCCATGCTCAACTTCAGGGCACCGTGGCAGAAAGAAGAGTGGTTCCTACACCAGCAGCTTATATATTAATGCCCACATTACTCCATTTCCTTCAGGTCAGCAAAAATGGTTCCAATGAGGTGCTTTCTGTAAATGAAAATGAGTTGAAATGCTCCTGTGACCTGCCCTCCATTTGTGGTTCTCATGATACTATCTTCCTTCTGCTTAGCAGGATGGCATCATCCAGTGAGACAAGTCCTTCTTTTTTTTTCTTTTTGTCTGAGACAGAGTCTTGCTATGTTGCCCAGGCTGGAGTGCAGTGGAGCAGTCTTGGCTCACTGCAACCTCTGCCTCCTGGGTTCAAGCAATTCTCCTGCCTTAGCCTTCCGAGTAGCTGGGATTACTGATGCCTGCAACCACACCACCTAATTTTTTGTATTTTTAGTAGAGATGGTGTTTCACCATGTTGGGCAGGCAGGGCTTGAACTCCTGACCTCATGATCCACCACCTCAGCCTCTCAAAGTGGTGGGATTACAGGTGTGAGCCACAATGCCTGGCCTTTTTTTTTTTTTTCTTTGGAGACAGTCTCGCTCTCTCGACAGGCTGCAGTGCAGTGGCACGATTTCGGCTCACTGCAACCTCCGACATCCTGGGTTCAAGCGAAGTGATTCTTCTGCCTCAGCCTCCTGAGTAGCCGGGATTATAGGCATGCGCCACCATGCCCAGCTAATTTTTGTATTTTTGGTAGAGATGGGGTTTCACCATGTTGGCCGGGATGGTCTCGATTTCCCGACCTCGTGGTCCACCTGCCTCAGCCTCCTAAAGTGCTGGGATTACAGGTGTGAGCCACTGCGGCAGGCAGAGACAGGTCCTTCTTATCCCTGTGTGGCACAGTATCTCTGCCATAGATTGGGTCCCTGGTTTGGGGAGAGGGTAAAATAAGCCCTCATTCCTGGGTCTCCTCATTGGACAAGCTCGCTGGGCAAGTCACAGCATCCACATTTGGTGGGACATGGGTGTTGGCAGACCCCAACCCAGAGAGCTTGCACCTTTCAGAGGACATCTCCTTCACTACGGCACTGGCTTCCCCTGCACAGGGGCCTAAACCAGCTTGGGCCTTAGGGAAGCCAATAGAGGAGGTATAGCTGCTGGTTCTGCCTCCTGCCCATCCACTTCAGCTCACTGTAATATCCCAAGTGGTTTTCCCCTTGCTAGAATCAGAGGACAGCTGACCTAAAAACCAACTCAGTGTGCAGCTTTTCAAAGCAATGAATCAGGCAGGGCTTTTGACATAATGTCCTCTGCAGTTCATTTTAAACAAGGATACGAAGTATTATTAAATGTATATTTTTAATAAAGCCAATAGTTATTTTACTTATAGGAGCTTTAAAAGATACAAAATGTAGAGTTCCAGTTTGGAAGCATTGTAACTATACACACAATGTCCTGCTGATGCCCTAGCAAGGCAGCCACGCCCGACCATGCAAAGGACACATACATTCACACACGCACACACATGCGCTTTGGCGAGACCCCTCTGCCAAGCGCAGCACCTGGAATTACCAGTGTTCAGAGCAAGGCGGTGCCGGGAACACAGCACCTACATGGAGACCACACAAACGGCTTCACACAGTCTCACAGCCCATGGAGATGCAATTAGAAAATGTCTTCCTTAATAGAGAAAAACAAACTGGAAAGTGACAATTAGCGACGTCACCTGTGCTGGGGCATCAAGGACTGACCTCTGTCCAAGGTGAGGCCTTTGGGGAGGCACTATTAAAACAAGAGTACGTCAGTATAATAGAACTCGAAATACAGGGTACTGTGGACACATTACTGAAGGAAATAGAAAACTATCTTACAAGTAGAACAGCCATAGACAACTTTAACAGAGATTAGTGTGCACACTGTGACAGCTAACAGACAGGAGCCACGCAGGGCTGGTGCAAAGCACGTGCCTGAAAATGTCTATATACAAAACAGTTCTTTGTAAACATGGTGAGGTGAATGCTCAGAACCACGGCAAAAGATCATAAATACAGGCAGCAATGCATCCCCACACAGCACAAAAGACAACACCTGAGGCCTGGGAACAGCCTGACAACACAGTACTAAAAACTCAGGTGGCTGGGCTCAGACACCCTAAGGGTCCTCTCGAATTAGTGTGTGTGTGTGTGTGTGTGTACATACATATATATGTGTGTGTATATATATATTCTTTTTTTTTTTTTTCTTTTTGAGACGGAATCTCGCTTGGTCACCCAGGCTGGAGTGCAGTGGCACAATCTTGGCTCACTGCAACCTCCGCCTCCCGGGTTCAAGCGATTCTTCTGCCTCAGCCTCCCAAGTAGCTGGGACTACAGGCGCCCGCCACCACGCCTGGCTAATTTTTGTATTTTTAGTAGAGATGGGGTTTCACCATATTGGCCAGGCTGGTCTTGAACTCCTGACCTTGTGATCCACCCACCTTGGTCTCCCAAAGTGCTGGGATTACAGGCGTGAGCCACCGCGCCCGTCCTCTTTTTGGTATTTTTATATATAAATTTACTTATATCTGTAGAAAAACGAGAACATAAATGTGTTATTACAATCTTTGCTGGAAAAGCTTATATGGAGTTAGAAAGAATAAACCATTTATTAGTAGTTAACATATATTAAAATGGTTTAATGATTTAAGAAAATATAAAAAAAATATTAATACTGTCAAACTTTCATACTAGAAAATATTATGGATTTTTCTCAATTAGACTTTTTCAAAGATGAAATATGAAAAATTTAAATAAGTTTTATATAAAGAACTTTCTGTAACCTCAATTAATATACAGTGGGATATGTCTATTCTATATAGATATATTTATTATTATTTCTCAATTTAAGCACCATTCAATTCTTCTGGATCCATTCTGGCTGGAAAATATCCCTAAATCCACAGGATGTTATCTATTTAATGGCACATGTTAACTGAAAATGAGGTGGATTTTTTTTTTTTTTTTTAAGAAAAGACCTTAAATTAATTTCTATCTACATCTTAATTGGTTTGTCTTCTGAGCCAGCTCACAATGTCAATGCAATTTCTAGTGCAGGTGTCTTTGAGTGCCCCTTGACCACACCCCGAGGACTGTGGCAGTGTCCTGGCCGTGTGTGGAAGGATCGAAGGGCAGCAGGTGCAGCCTTGCTCTGCACATGGACAGCAGCCGGCTGGTCCGCCGACACGCACCTTCAGCAGTATACCTCCGACACGAGTTCCACCATCCTGCTTCCGTAAAGCTGGGAAAGGCCGCAGTCCCTGGGTGCTGCTGGGTGGCGAGGAACTGTCCACCCACAGAAACCCCAGGTGACTGCTTCCAATCACAAATATTCTATATTTTGCCCATTTTGTATAAGCTTAAATATAGTGTTAAACAAACCTCCAGCCAGTATATCTGTTATCTTAAAATATTCAATGCATTTTAGGCAGGAGATGTTTTAACTAAAAACCTACATGAAAAAAATAGCTATAAAAATACAGTGATTGGTGTGGTCATCACTCAAGGTGTGGAGAAGGGAGGAGAGGGTTTCTGAAAAATGGTCAGTTATGCCCTCAGCTTTCAGGCCTGATGTCTTCTCAACACAAAGCAGGACTAAAAACCCAAGAGCTATGTTTCTTCAAGTGTGGCCGTGGCGCCTGCATCAGAGTCACCTGCGGGGCTTATTAGGCATGCAGGTTCCCCAGCAAGCCCCCGAAGGCCAGACGCCTGTGTCTCCAGCTGGCTCTCCAGGGCTCTGATGCTGCCAGTGTTTGAGAAGCCAGGTTTAAAGGCTGGGAGCTGCCAACCACCCTTGTCCCCAAGGAACCCTCCCTGGGATGGGGCGCACTGGTCCTCTGAGTGGCTGGTGTCAGCTAGGCGGCCCTGGGATGGGGACACCCATCCCCACAGCTCTGGGCAGGCAGGCAGGCTGGCCTGCGGTCAGTACTGGGGCAGATAGGCTGGCCTGCGCTCAGCCTTCCCAGGGAAGGCCTTGAAGCCCTTGGGTGCTGCCTTGTGTGCTGGTGGGGGTGGGGGCTGTGGTGGGGTCTGCACGTAGGAGAAGGCGGCGGCACTGCAGTCGTTGGTTGCGGCCCATACTGGGGACTGCAGCATCTGCATGGTGTCGTTCCACTGGCTGCCGGGGCTGGTGACTGCATAGAGTGGTGCGCTGGGGCTGGGCAGCGTGCTGGGAAGCGGGGAAGGGTGCTGCCAGGGTGCTTTGGGTGGCCACGTTTTGGTTTTGTTATCCTGAGAGACAGAAGAGAGTTCTTAGTGGCATTTTGGGCAATGTATCATCTTTTTCCACCTCCCCAGATCCCTGGCCCTTATTCCCACCTAGGAGGCAGGGTCAGAGCCCCACTCACTCCCACAGCCCTATCCAACAGAACTTCTTGCAATGATAGCCACGTTCTGTGCCTACATGGTAGCCACTTGCCACATGTGGCTAGTGCAAACTGAGGACCTTTTTTTTTTTTTTTTTGGAGACGCAGTCTGTCTCTCACCCAGGCTGGAGTGCAGTGGCGTGATCTCGGCTCACTGCAACCTCCGCCTCCCGGGTTCAAGCGATTCTCCTGCCTCAGCCTCCTGAGTAGCTGGGATTACAAGCGTGTGCCACCATGCCTGGCTAATTTTTATATTTTCAGTAGAGACGGGATTTCACCGTGTTAGCCAGGATAGTTTCGATCTCCTGACCTCATTTGTGATCCACCCGCCTCGGCCTCCCAAAGTGCTGGGAGTACAGGCATTGCCACTGCACCCGGCTGATTAATTCTTTTTAAAAAATATTTTAGAGGCAGTCTCTATCACCCAGGCTGGAGTACAATGGTGCAGTCATAGCTCACTGTAATCTCAAATTCCTGGGTTCAAGCCATCCTCCTGCCTCAACCTCCTGAGCAGCTAGGACTATAGGCATGTGCTACCATGCCTGGCTAATCTTTTAACTTTTTTGTAGAGACAGTGTCTATGTTGCCTGGGTTGGTCACAAACCTCTGGCCTCAAGCCATCCTTCTACCTTGGCCTCCCAAAGCACTAGGATTACAGGCATAAGCCACCATGCCCAGCCTGAATTTTTATTTGTATTTAAATTTACATAGCCACATGTGGTGAATGGCTGTCATACTGGACAGCACAGCCGTAGAACGTCCTGTGGCTCTGAGTCAGCTGAGGAGGCTAATCATTTACACAGTTAATCATCACAAAGAAGACCCCTCATTACTTTGAGGCCCTCTGAAAACTGCAGCTGTGGAAGCTAGTCCAAATCTGTGCCCACAGAGCCTGCCTGAATACCTGGTTCACGTCCTCCACTGTGGTGAGGAGAGGTGGTGAGGGCAGCGTGCTGGTGTCCTGCTCTCCACTGCTGTGTTTCCTGAAAGAACCAAGAGCTCAGGGCAGTGATTGCCTGGCTTCCTGCCCAGCCCACCTGCATGGGACACACTAGTGCTAGGCTGCAGCGACTCCAGGCCCTGGTTCTAGGAGGGGAGGAGGGCTGCATGGGTCCATGGCGTAAAGGGGACTAAGGGGAGCCAGCACTGAATGATGCGCTCCTGCACGGCCAGTGCAGGCAGAGGAGCTGGGGTTGGGGGTGGCAGGCAAAGACAGGCACCGGCTTTACTCAGATGCTGAGTCCACCTTCTTTGCCTTTTTTTTTTTTTTTGAGACCGAGTCTCACTCTCTTTCCCAGGCTGGAGTGCAGTGGCATGACCTCAGCTCACTGCAACCTCCGCCTCCCAGGTTCAAGCAATTCTTGTGCCTCAACCTCCGGAGTAGCTGGGATTACAGGCATGTGCCACCATGTGCAGCTAATTTTTGTATTTTTAGTAGAGATGGGGTTTCACCATGTTGGCCAGGCTGATCTCGAACTCCTGACCTCAGGTGATCTACCTGCGTCAGCCTCCCAAAGTACTGGGATTACAGGTGTGAGCCAGTTAATTCATTTAAGAGATACTGTTTCCAAGCACTAAGGATATGTGACTGTTACAAGGTTGAATGAAAAAGGCAGGATGTGGCCAGATCAGAGCCAGCACTCCTGCATGCAGACAACAGTCTCTGCAGAGATGGTGCCAGATGTGACTTCTTAAAAGTCGAATCAGTCATATGTCTGAAACAGCAGTCTCAAACTCCACCCCGGCTCAAACTTGCTCCTCCTGCAGGCTTTGCACCTCAGTTCACGGCACCCTTCACAGAAGCTCAGGCGGAAAACTTGTGTGTCATCCTTGACTCTTCCCCCTTCACCCATACCCCACTGCCAATTCCCCACCAGCTGCTGCTGCACTTTGTTCAGCTCTCTGCTCATCAGAAGTCTCATTGACTAAGTTCTGAAAATAGAACATCCACCTGTTCTCTGCATTTACTACCCTCATACCATGCTTTATTTTCCTTCAGAGCACCTAGCCTAACCTGACATGATTTTTTGTTTGATTTTTGAGACAGGGTCTCACTCTGTTGCCCAGGCTAGAGTGCAGTGGCACAAACACAGCTGACTGTAGCCTCAACTTCCCAGGCTCAAGTGATCCTCCCACTTCAGCCTCCCGAGTAGCTGGGACTACAAGTGTGGACAGAAAGCATCTGAATGTGTGCTCGGGATTGGTCACTGCCACCCCCCCAGCCCACTACTATTCTGTGCAAGTACCCTTCTGTCTTCACCTACCCGCTCCCCACTGCCTATCCGATGGAGCCTGGCCTGTCTAGCAAGGACCATGTAACCCAGCCTCCAGCTCTGCTCCACAGCATGGCTTCGAGTACCTGGGAGCCCTGTGTACCCTCCACTCCCATGGCCCTTAGTCTGCCACCCTAACCTTGCTTTCATAGCCACAGCAGTTTCTCTACTTATTTCTAACCAAGCTCTCCTCTTAGTTCAGAGCCCATTTTAATTTTGGGGACCACTTTTGAAACATTCTCAGGTCTGAATATGCTATATTACTACTTTTTCAAACTTTGAAATGCCATTCAGAGGTCATTTTATCCATCTTTAATAAAGAGACTGAGGGTCAGTGAGGGCCAGCCCCTTGTCTGGGGTTGCAGAGCCTATTGGTGAGTCCAGATTAGAACTCGCAACCAAGGGCCTGCTCTTCCCACAGAAAGGGGTGCCTCCTGCAAGGCACAGACCAGCACCAGCCACCCTGTCCCCCAAATCGAGCCGGCACAAGACGAGGCCGGCTCTTCCTTGTGGAAACCGCCTCCTGCAGGCGCTCTTTAGAGGATTCAGCCAGGCAGTGCTGGAAGAGCCCCTCCTCCCACACAGGGAGACTAGGAGCGACTGGGCTCCTGGCTTTCCCAGGGAGTGAGCCGTGGGTTGCATTCACATGCCCCTCTCTCCCCACCTTGGTTTAGAAATCCCTTCATACCTTCTCTGCTTGACAGCAGCAACGAGGTCAGGCCCTGAAAACATGGAGAACAAGCTGTCCCCGTTAGCTGAGGATGTCTCATCACTCGAGCTGGCAGAGTCTCCCTGAGCACCCGACCAGGCACCATGCAGGCCATCCCTGAAAGCCGGAGAGAGAAGCTGGGCCAGGGCCTCCTGCAGCCCCACCACCCTCCACCCCACCCTGAAAGGGCAGTCCTTACCCTGCATTCATCCCATAACCAAACAGTGGTCTCTTGTCTCTCCCTTCTTAAAACGTGAGGTTTTCCTCCTTTGCCTTATTTCAAAAGTAATACATATTCATCACTTCCCTTTATTCCTCTAAGAAGCCTATGGTTTGTATATGAAATTTGTTTTAGAAAAAACAAGGGAGGGATAGCATGGGGAAGAATAGCTAATGGATGCTGGGCTTAATACCTAGGTGATGGGATGATCTGTGCAGCAAACCAACATGGCACACGTTAACCTTTGCAACAAACTTGCACATCCTGCACATGTACCCCTGAACTTACAATAAAAGTTGAAAGAAAAAAAAATTTTTTAAGTTAAAAAAAAAAAGAAGAAAAAACTAAAAGTTGAGCTGGTCTTTAGTCACCCAGATTTATTAACTAGGTAGCAATATGGGATATAAAAAAATCCCCACTTGTCTTTACGATAAAAATTCACAATTCTGTCAATATACTAGAATCTCAACTGTACACCTTTGCTTTTTGTAGGCTATAATGACAGCATTCCATAAATCATGTGGGCTTCACAGCCACACTCATTTCAGTATAAAGGCCGTGTTAAATATGCATTTATCTTACAAGCACCATCATGTAAGAGCCTTGTCTAGGGCTGAAGAATCTGTTTTGAAAATCATGAATGTATACCAATGGCATGTTCACAGGGACACAACACACTACTTAGCATCTAACAGTCAGCCACATGACTCTGACCCCTAAAGATTTAATCCCATGTCACTCTCTCACATGGGGGCTTGGAATTGAACTGCTTGAAAAGAATGCCCACAGACAAGGAGCCTCCCTTCTCACAGGCCCCTCGGGGGACACTTGGGTCTCAAACTCGGATTCCGTGCAGTACCCAGCACTCACCCTTCTGTGAAGAACTCGGGGAAGGGCCAGGTCCGATGGGCGTCATCCATAGGCGGCCAGTTGCCCCGGGGGTTGCCTGGCCGGCGACCATGCTGGGCCTGCCGCTTCTGCTGCATCGCCTGGCTCACTCCTGCCACATAGCGTGCAAACTCTGGGTCTGAGCCCACTGGATGGCGACAAAAGGAACAAACCGGGTTTGGGGAGAAACTGGCCTCTTAGTCCTTCCCTATGCTTTGCTGACATGCTGGTCACACGTGCAATGAAAGGCAGTGAGGAGCTGCCAGGCTTTTGCCCCACAGCGTGGGCTGTAGGCTGTGCCCAGCACCCTGCTGTGGGGAGATGGGACTTGTAGCACCTAGGGCTAAGGCACAGTGTGTGCCAGGGATGTCTGGAAGGGCTATGCCTAGGACAGAGGCAGGTAAGTGTGAAAGAAACAAAAAGAAAGAAAAATGGTTTGATTTACCCATGATTAGATTTTAAAGACAAATACTAATAACTTAAAAAAATTTCTAGCATCAGCCAGGCACAATGGCTCACTCCTGTAATCCTAGCATTTTGGGAGCATGAGGTGGACAGATTGCTTGAGCCCAGAAGTTTGAGACTAGCCTGGCCAACATGGAGAAACCTCGTCTATACAAAAATTAGCTGGGTGTGGGCCAGACGCGGTGGTTCACGCCTGTAATCTCAGCACTTTGGGAGGCCGAGGCAGGTGGATCATGAGGTCATGAGTTCAAGACCAGTATGGCCAAGATGGTGAAACCTTGTCACTACTAAAAATACAAAAATTAGCTAGGTGCGGTGGCAGGTGCCTATAATCCCAGCTACTCGGGAGGCTGAGGCAGGAGAATCGCTTGAACCCAGGCGGCAGGGGTCACAGTGAGCCAAGATCGTGCCATTGCACTCAGCCTGGGAGAAAAAGCAAGACTCTGTCTCAACCAAAAAAAAAAAAAAAAATTAGTTGGGTGTGGTGGTGTGCACCTGTAGTCACAGCTACTTGGGAGGCTGAGGTGGGAGGATCACTTGAGCCCAGGAGGTGGAGGTTGCAGTGAGCCAAGATTGCGCCACTGCACTCCAGCCTGAGAGAAAGAGCTAGACTCTGTCTTAAAAAAAAGAAACAAAAAAACAAAAAAAAAAACACCTGGGCGGTGCTTGGTGGCTCACGCCTGTAATCCCAGCACTTTGGGAGGCCGAAATGGGTGGATCACCTGAGGTCAGGAATTCGAGACCAGCCTGGCCAACGTGGTGAAAACCCATCTCTACTAAAAATACCAAAAATTAGCCGGATGTAGTGGCAGGCACCTGTAATCCCAGCTACTCAGGAGGCTGAGACAGAAGAATCACTTGAACCCGGGAGGCGGAGGTTGCAGGGAGCTGAAATCGCGCTATTGCACTCTAGCCTGGGTGACAAGAGCAAAACTCCAACTTAAAAGAAGTCCAGCGTCTTGGTGCTCTGTACCTAGAGTCATCAGCTAACAACTTAGAAAATCAGATGATGACTTTGGCCAACTGATAACCTGAAAGTTAACAAAGCATCAAAGCATTGGGGTGAGCCAGATAGAGGTTATATGCTGTTTCCACTTGAGCTAAAGTTTGATCTGGTATTTTCCTGGCTATTGGCCAGGAGATTTGCTCATTCCATCTGAACATCTTAAGTGTGGCAAAGAATAAAATGCAACTTCAGAATGCTTTAAGAGGTGGCTGGAAACACTGGCAGTGCTGAATGGGGATACGCAGGGCAGTACAAACGGGAGAAAAGCACAGATGGCGTTTACAGAAAGTGTCAAAAAAAAACATATGGCAGGAAAGCATCCATGAATCATAAATGTGACTCAGCAATTCATTTTTTAGCTTAAAATTAGGGAAGACACTAGGGCACAATCCCATTACCAGCTTATCCTAGGGCACTGTCACAAGATGATCTCAGTCACACTGTCCTGTCTCCCGACCCCCATCCCGCACTGAGTTTGCCTATCCAGACGGGGGCACTAGCTGGCGCCCTCTGATTCTGTCCAGAGGGGCGCTCCTCCTTAATCTGCATCAAGGGCTATGCAGATCTTATGCCCTTGGGGCAGATAGAAAACTACACCATGGACTTCAGGGGCAGAAAGGAACACCCAGAAGGGAAAGAGTAGGATTTGTAGTCTACAGACATCAGAGGTGTCCAGGACTCAGAGGTCAAATACGGTAACATTCTTATTAAAAAAAAAATTTTTTTTTAGACAAGAGTCTCACTCTAGTTATCCAAGCTGGAGTGCAGTGGCGCCATCTCAGCTCACTGCAACCTCTGCCTCCCGGGTTCAAGTAATTCTCGTGCCTCAGCCTCCCAGGTGGTTGGGACTACCACACCTGGCTAATTTTTTTGTACTTTTGGTAGAGACGGGGTTTCACCATATTGGCCAGGCTGGTCTTGAACTCCTGGCCTCAAGCAATCTGCTGGCCTCAGCCTCTCAAACTGCTGAGACTACAGGCGTGAGCCACTGCGCCCGGCCTCAAATATGATACGATTCTCACAAATACTGTTTATATTCTGAATTTAGTTACATGACAGTCAAAAAATGTACAGACCATTTATGATCAACTGAGAAAACGCACTGTGACCACAGCAGTGGGTGGTAGCCAGTGGGCTTGCTGTTTCTTAGCAGGATGGAGGTGTTTACCCTTCTTGTGGCCCAGGGTTGCAGGCACAAGGGTTTCCTATATCCACCACCCAGGGGGAGCAAGCACAAGACAGCAGGAGCAGCGGCATGAAGAATTTTCAGAAGACACGAGCAATGGTCAGGTGCGGTGGCTCACGCCTGTAATCTCAGCACTTTGGGAGGCTGAGGTGGGTGGATCACCGGAGATCAGGAGGTCAAGACCAGCTTGACCAACATGGCAAAACCCCGTCTCTACTAAAAATATAAAAATTAGCCGGGTGTGGTGGTGGGCGCCTGTAGTCCCAGCTACTCAGGAGGCTGAGGCAGGAGAATCATTTGAGCCCAGGAGGCAGAGGTTGCAGTGAGTGGGGATCGTGCCACTGCACTCCAGCCTGGGCAACAACTCGAGACTCTGTTTCAAAAAAAAGGAGTGTTAACCCCAGCATTAACTTCTCTCCTGTAACAAGTGCGGGGGTGTTTCAGCAAGGAATCTCTTCTGGTGGGGATTTACTTGTACAAGTATTTGCTATACTTATTTGTAACATTTCACAGTACTCACCTGTGAATGAAATACATTTTCTACTTCTGTATGCCTTTTGCTATTTAATTAGAGAAAAAAGTTTGCATGTACCTATGTTACCAAATTCTCTTCCTAATTTCAGATTTTTTGGTGGGGGGGGTTCAATTCTATTATTAGCAAAAAGATGTGCTGCTTAATCTATCATTTTCCAAAGCTTGGACCACTTATTTCATTGCTTTTTGTCTTGCTGCATTTGCTGTGAAGTCCAAGACAAAGTTACATGCTACAGGTGATAACAGTTGCCCTTGTCTGATTCCTGATATTAACTGAAATGATTTTTGTTTCATTATATAAGGTACTATTTGCTGTTAGCTTTTGGTAGATAGTCTTTTTTATTTTTCATTTATTTACTTATTTTTTAGAGACAGAGTCTCACTTTGTTGCCCAGGCTGGACTGCTGTGGTGTAATCATGGCTCACTGCAGCCTCAACCTCCTGAGCTCAAGCGATCTTCCCACCTCAGCCTCAAGGGGCTGGGACTACAGGCATGTGCCACCACACCCGGCTAATTTTTTATTTTTTGTAGAACTATGTTGGCCAAACTGGTCTCGAACTCTTGGCCTCCTGCAATCTGCCTACCTCAGCCTTCCAAAGTGCTGGAATTACAGGCATGAGACAGCGTGCCCAGCCAGGTTTTCCACTTCTTGGTATAATTTTGTAATGCCTATTTTGCTAGGAAAGAATCGATTTTCTGCTGAGTTTCCAAATGTATTGCTATTAAGTCTTAGATGGTAATGACTTAAAGTGGCTTTTTTTTGAAATAGGGTCTCTCTCTGTCATCCAGGCTGGGGTGCTACTGCTGCAGCTTCCTAAGCACCACCACACCCAGCTGTTTTTTTGTTTAGAGATGAGGGTTTTGTGGTGTTGACCAGGCTGGTCTTGAACTCCTGGCCTCAAGTGATCCTCCCGCCTCAGCCTCTCAAAGTGCTGGGATTACAGGCATAAGCCACTAAAGTGCTTTTAATGTATCCTATTTCCTAATTTTGTTTCTCTTTGTTCTCTCTTAATCAAGCTTAGAATAAATTGGCTTATATATTTTATTGGTCTTCCAAAGATCCTTTAGAGTTATTTGCAATTTCTACTCTATTTTTCTTTTTAATTTACTTATTTTTGGCTTTTCCCCCTTAATTCCTCCTCCTAGTTTGTTCTTGTTTGTAAATTCCTTCTCTAATTTCTTAAGATGACTCTGGTGGTATTTTCATTGTCTAGGCCAGGAAAAGCTGTTTTCTATGAAGGCAGGAGGGTGTCTGTCACCTATCCTAAGTCCTAGAGTTTAGGCAAAAAAAAAAAAGCATCGCAAAGAACAGGTTATATGATCAGGAAAAAAGCACCCCACAAAAGACTGTTGATCTTGGCTGCTGGCAGTGGGCAGGCCTAGACTGGAGCCCACTTGAACTATGGGACTTTGAGCTATTCAAGTAACCTCTCTTAGCCTCAGTTCTGTTCTCCATAAAGTAAGAAAAATAGTCCACTCACGTTCTCAGCCCCTTTCTCACCACTGTTTCCCACTCTTGCTAGATCTGCCCCACACTCACCTCCACAGTGAGAAAGGGTCGTAAAGGGGGGATTAAGTGATTTCACCTTCACAAGTAAGGCTGCGGTAGACAGGCCCTGGGAAGACCTCGGCAGTTGCGTTTGCTGTTGACACTGGGCGAGGGGTGGGAGGCCTCACATACCTGCAGGATCGAAAGGCAGAATCTCTCCCAGCATTCCAAAGACTCCATCGCTTTGGTCACGGTTTGGCCACGTGTTATTTCTAGGTCCCTGCGGCTTCTGTCCCAGAACCTCTGACATCACGTTATCCATATAGCTGCTCACCAGACCCAAGCTGTACAAGTCAGAACTGAGATCAGATATGCCAGGCCACTGACCAAGAGGAGACAGACCTGCTCCAACAGTCTGCCCTGGCTGTTGGGATGAGCCATGTACCCATTTCCCAGGTGCCCGAGGCTGGGGCGGGGGCTGCTGCGGTCCAATGGGCTGGAGTAGGTGTTGGTAGTATTGGACGTGAGGTTGTTGCTGCTTTGGGGACTGCTGCTGAGGTGCCAGTCCCGGCTGGGGTGTCAGAGGTGTGTGTGCCCCAGCCTGGGGTGCCCGTGGTGGAGGGGGCACAGGCAGTGACGGCTGCTGTGGCTGCATGGCTCCTGCCTTCTGCTCAGTCACCATGGCTGTGGCAGCAGAATTACGCCTTGTCACCAACGGAGAGCCCTGATGTGACTGGCCCATGTTAAAGCCCGAGAGAAAATCTATCACCTCTTGCATTTCCTGATCAGTTGGTAAGTTCATACCCTTCTCATCCTTGCCATCATCTCCATGCAGGAAGTTCTCACGCCTCTCCATGAGAAAGCCATTGGCCACTGGATTACTGGAATTCTGAGCTGACTGTGAAGGGTCTGTAGTCCTGGGGAAATTACCAATGTTCAAAATGCTTTGTAACCTTGTATCAATATTGCCAGGCATTTTGGCCTTCTCTTCTGAACATCCAGCTACGAAGATGTTTTTAGAAGGGGTATTTTGGATGGAATAATTTGTGCTGCTGCTGGAGTTAGTACATGAAGCTTTCTTGGTGAACCGGGATGTCAGTTTGGAGAATGTCTTCTGCAGGCCACCTGAAGATTTGTTTCCATTTCCAGAAGGCAGGTCAGCCTGGTTGCCAAAATCACAGATCTCCCTTTGCAGCTGGATCTGTATGCAGGGTAAAGCTTGCTCCCTATTTAAACAGAAATTTGTTAAAAAAAAAAAAAAAAAAAAAAGACAAATATATAAAATAATAGAATGGACCTCTTTGTATTTAAGAATGGTGTTGAGAGCAAGAAAAACCTCTCTGGTTGGTATCACGTTCACTTATTTTATAAATAAATGAACACCCAGGGGTTTGGAGAGTATGAAATCTACAGTGTCTAACGCAGGACTGGAAGTTCTGCTAGGATTCTGGCCTGAGGAGTGTGATTAAGTGAAATCCTCTAATGGTGGCACAGGAGGGGAAAGCATGGCTAGATGTGGGGATGCAACTTGCAGAAGCTAGCTTTGTACCTGGAGGACAGGGGCTACAGCCACGCAAATACAGCAGAGGGACAATGGACAACTCCACAAAGCAGAGGGAAGTGGTGGGGGGATGCAGGGATACTATGGACCAATGTTGTCCCAAAAGATGGCTGTGACTTTCAAAGTTTCCTGAGCACATTTTCCCCATACTAAAATGGAGCCCTACAGAGCGAAAGGGCATGGGGCAGGAGCTGAGGCAGGTGAAGGCTGTGTGGCCCTGGAAAAGTCACTTCACTATTCTGGCCTTTGTGTACTCATGAGTTAAGAAAGGGAGAAAAGGTTGGGCATGGTGGCTCACGCCTGTAATCCCAGCACTTTGGGAGGTCAAGGCAGGCAGATCACTTGAGGTCAGGAGTTTGATACCAGCCTGACCAACATGGTGAAACCCCATCTTCATGAAAAATACAAAAATTGGCTGGGCGTCATGGCGCACACCTGTAATCCCAGCTACTCGGGAGGCTGAGGTGGGAGGATGACTTGAGCCCAGGAGCTGGGGGAGGCTGCAGTGAGCTGAGATTGCACCACTACACTCCAGCCTGGCTGGGTGACAGAGCCAGATCCTATAAAGATAAAGACGACAAAACCAAACACAAAGACCAAGACAGAAAAGAAAAAAAGAGAAAAGAAAAGAAAAGGGAGAGGGGCCATGGCTAGATGTTTAAGGCTCCTACCAGATGTATACACATTTTTCAAGTTCAACCTGAGAGAACGGATTGAAAAAGAAAACAAATTCTAAAAGACATAAGTAAATTTTCTAAACATTTCTCTGTTCTTAATTCGTAACGAGAATATGAGTTAAAAGTCCTCTTGATGGACTTCCTCTCAAATGACAAAACAAAGGAAGGCAAAAATGTTAGCAAATAGGATAATCTGGGTACAGGGCATGGAGCAGTTCTTTGCATCATTCTTGCCACTTTGCTGCAGGTTTCAAATTATTCTGAAAATAAAAGTTACTAAAAAGTCCGTATTGCCTTATTTACAATACCGCATACTATCAGTGACACAAGCACACATGAAATTGTGCATAGTCACACTGTCCCCTCAGTATGCATCTAAATGCAAACCACAGACAATTTAAGTGACCTGCACAGACACCAACCTTCCAGCCCTCCAGCGGTTTAGGTCCAGCACGGCCGTGTAGAGCACATCCACCAGACCCAGGGTCTTCTCAGGATCAAGGCTTCTCTGCAGCAGGGACATGGTGGCAGGGTCTTCTTTCAGGCACCTAGGCACAGATTAGGCTGCATTAGTCTTGGCTGCCCTTCTCTGCAAAGGTGTTTCAAGCAGGTCTCATAGAAAAGGCTACAACTTTTATGTACTTCTTGCGCCCAACAAAAATTCAGTAACTGTAAGAACACAGAGAAAAGAACAGGGCTGACCCTGGAACTCACTGCTCCACAAGAGGAGGAGGAAGCAAAAGGGTCTGAGGTCTCGTGATATCAGAATGTATATTTGGTCTCTGCCTCCAGTTCCTCATACAGAACTCCTAAAACCCTTGAGATTTCCTGGATGATAGTGTCTTTTGTTCTAATAAGATGACTTGCTTATATGATGAAGCCTCCATAAAAATCATTGATCATCGGGTTCTGAGAACTTCCACGCTGGTGAACACACTGAGGTGCTGGGCATGGGGCACACCTGGCAACGGCATGGAGGCTTGGGGCCCCATCCTACACACTGCATGCTATGCACCTCTTCACCTGGCTGTGTATCTGCTGTAATATCCTTTATAACAAACCATAAATGTAATTAAATGTTTTACTGAGTTCTGTGAGACATTATAGCAAAATATCAAACCTGGAGGTTATGGGAACCCTCAACTTATAGCCAATTGGTTAGAAGTCGGGTGACCACCTGGGACTTGTGGATGGCATCTCAAGTGGGAAGTAGCCTTGCGGGGCTGAGCCCTTAACCTGTGGGGTCTGTGCTAGCTCAGACACTCTGATTCCTGCTGACTTCTCCAATAAGTAAACAATACAACTGTCTACCCCAAAACTTACACATCCTCTCTAGTTCCTTACATCTTGCATGCAATCCATCAGTGAATCCTGACAGCTCTTCTTATAAAACACATCCAGAATCCAAGCACTTCTCACCACCTTGTTTATGAACCCCCTGCTTCAGGAAACCACCACTCCTGGGTTTCAGGACCAAGCTCTCACCTGGTCTCTTTTTCTCTACTCCTGTACCTCCAAAGCCCATCCTTCACATAGCAGCCAGAGCGAGCTTCCCGTAGTGCCAATCAGAGCACATCACTCCCCTGCTTAAAACCCTTCAATGGCATCTCATCGTGATTGAAATAAAATCTAAACCCTCACCACAGTCCTCAAAGCCCTCTGTGCCCAGCCCTTCCACCTTGCCCCAGCCGTGAGGCCTTCTTTTTCCCTGGATGGGTTTGTCCACACCTAGGACCTTTGTTCTTGCTGCTGCCTTTGCCCGAATTTCTCTTTCCTGAGATTTGGATATGGCCAACTGCTTCTCATCATTTGGGTCTCCACTGTCCATTCAGGGTACCTACACCAAGAGCCCCCCAACCTTTTTTTGAGACAGAGTTCCACTCTGTCCTCAAGGCTGGATTGCAGTGGTGTGATCAAAGTTCACTGTATCCTCAACCTCCTGGGCTCAAGCCATCTTCCCAGGTCAGCCTCCCAAGCAGCAGGGACTACAGGCGTGTGCCACCACACCCGGCTAATTTTTTAATTTTTTTGTAGAGACGGGGTCTCATTATGTTGCTCAGGCTGGTCCTGAACTCCTTAGCTCAGGTGATCCTCCTGCCTCAGCCTCCCAAAGTGCTAGGATTACAGGTGTGACCCACTTGGTCCAGCCAAGAGCCCTTTTCTGAGAGGGAAAACAGTCTGAGCAGCACAGGTCTACTAGGAAGATGATGTCTGCCAAATCCTGGGCACTCTAGGAGCTAAATGGTGAACTCAACACTTGCAAAGTCACCCAAGGAGGTAGCAGTACTCCCTAACATGACTTGGACTTGGGAAGAAATGTATCAAAGAAATGCATAAGAGCATGAAATGAGAGTCAGCCAGGCTCTGAAGCACAGGAAAGGGTGAACAACAACGCAAGCTCTGCTAGTGCCCAGCTAGACCCTGGACTCCTCAGAGAGAATCTTGGCAACTGAGCCTGCCCAGGGTTCAGTGCACCCAATTCTCTCCATCTGGAATCACTGATAATCAGGACACATTTGCTCTTGTTCCCAAGCCAAGTCTCGTTGTGACTTGGCTTGTCACGTTTGCCCACTAGGAAAGCATTTGTTGGCCATGCAGAAAAGAGTACTACAGTTCCTGGTGATAATAATTAATCTTTCTGAAAAATCAACAATCAACAAACTGGCATTTTTATTTTATTCATCAGTCTTGAGCTGATCAATAAAATGCCCTTAAGTGGCTAAACCCATTCTGCTGACAAATCATCAAGACTTGCTTAAAACCCTGTACCTGTTCTTAGATTAAAAGCCCAGTTCCCTCAAGGGCCCTGCAAGTCTTGACATCTATAACTTCCCATTCTTATCACCACCTAGTGCATCTCGTTCCATGCTGGTTCACTCCTGAAGCCACTGCACTGGCATTCCTTCTGCCTGAAGTGTGCTCCCCATCTGCTCTCTCCATGGCAGGCTCCTCTCAAATCCAACGTCATATCGTCAGAACCCCTTCCAGACTCACTCGTCTAAAAGTCTCCCCCCAATCTCTATCCCACTTATTCTCTATCATATATTGGCGCTCTCCTCTCATTTCCATCATATGCCTGCCTGTGTTTGAACTCATCTCTTTTTTTTTTGAGACGGAGTCTCGCTCTGCCGCCCAGGCTGGAGTGCAGTGGCCGGACCTCAGCTCACTGCAAGCTCCGCCTCCCGGGTTTACGCCATTCTCCTGCCTCAGCCTCCCGAGTAGCTGGGACTACAGGCGCCCACCACCTCGCCCGGCTAGGTTTTTGTATTTTTTAGTAGAGACGGGGTTTCACTGTGTTAGCCAGGATGGTCTTGATCTCCTGACCTCGTGATCCGCCCATCTCGGCCTCCCAAAGTGCTGGGATTACAGGCTTGAGCCACCGCGCCCGGCCGAACTCATCTCTTATACTTAACAGCTGTGTCCCCCTTCTCTATTCTCAAGTTGGTTTATGAGGAGCAAGGACCCTGTGTGTCTTGCTCATAATTAAATTCCCAGAGCCCAGAACAGTGTCTGGTACACAATAAGTATTCAGTAAATATTCAGTGAAATGAAGCATGGATGGATAGCAATATCCTTTTTCTCCTGGTGGAGTAAAGCAATCATTTCTGTTTGTATTCTTCCCAACAAGCACATACAGTATTCTGTAATTTGAAAAAAACAAAAGAATTAAAATTTTGCTAAATTACCAAAAGCAGCCAGCAGAGGGAGCCTCTGCAAGGACTCACAGTCTACAAGGTCTTTTTTGTGGGGGTGCAATGAGTTACAAAGGAAATCAACCCCACCGGGAGAGTTTTCAAAATAAACCGAAGTGTTAGCCATTTTTGCACCCAACCATCCAAAAGTTCAAACTGTTTTCTTCAAAATGAGAATTCTGATTAAGTTTTAACATTTTCCAATGACAGCCTGAATTGGAAAAATTTCAGGCTCATGCCTGTAATCCCAGCACTTTGGGAAGCCAAGGCGGGTGGATTACCCAAGGTCAGGAGTTTGAGACCAGCTTGGTTAACATGGTGAAACCCCATCTCTACTAAAAATACAAAAATCATTAGCTGGGCATGCAGGTGGGTGCCTGTAATCCCAGCTACTAAGGAAGCTGAGGCAGGAAAATCATTTGAACCCAGGAGACGGAGGTTGCAGTGAGCCGAGATAGCGCCATTGCACTCCAGCCTGGGCAACAAGAACAAAACTATCTCAAAAAAAAAAAAAAAAAAAAAAAAAATTCAGGAACACATTTCAGTAGAACACTGACTACAAAAGGAAAAAAAAAAAGAATTTAGGAACACAAAAATCTTACAGAAAAGTGAGCCTCTGGTTTACTGTTTGATAGAAATGAAAATATGTGTATAAATTACCATTAATTTCAGGACACAGTATGCCACCCTATAATTAACTTAAAATTTTGGGCCAGGTACAGTAGCTCATGCCTGCAATCCCAGTACTTTAGGAGGCCAAGGCAGTGGGATCACTTGAATCCACGTGTTTCAGACCATGCTGGCCAATATAGTGAGACCTCATCTCTACAAAAAAACTTAAAAATTAGCCGGGCATGGTGGCGCATGCCTGTAGACTCAGCTACTTGAGAGGCTAGGGTGGTAGGATTGCTCGAGACCAGGAGTTCAAGGCTACAGAAAGCCATGATCACACCACTGCCCTCCAGTCTGGGGGACAGCGTGAGATCTAGTCTCTACCAAAAAAAAAATTAATTTAAAAACATAAAAACTTTTTGGTGGCAGAGTACTTATAGAAGGGAGGTTTTAGGACACAAAGTGAACTGCCAATCTTTACTTAATATATTCATAGACTCTAAACATTTTTACAGAATCTACTATTGTACTCTTACATTTTTTGTTGTTGTTGTTGTTAAGACTGACAGAGCTGTTAAGCTCTGTCGCCCAGGCTGGAGTGCAGTGGCCGGATCTCAGCTCACTGCAAGCTCCGCCTCCCGGGTTTATGCCATTCTCCTGCCTCAGCCTCCTGAGTAGCTGGGACTACAGGCGCCCGCCACCTCGCCCCGCTAGTTTTTTGTATTTTTTAGTAGAGACGGGGTTTCACCGTGTTAGCCAGGATGGTCTCGATCTCCTGACCTAGTGATCCGCCCGTCTCGGCCTCCCAAAGTGCTGGGATTACAGGCTTGAGCCACCGCGCCCGGCCTGTACTCTTACATTTCAAGAACAAATGGGTCAGGCACAGTGGCTCACGCTTGTAATCCCAGCACTGTGCGAGGCCAAGGCAGGTGGATCACCTGAGGTCAGGAGTTCAAGACCAGCCTGGCCAACATGGTAAAACCCTGTCTCTACTAAAAGTACAAAAATTAGCCAGGCGTGGTGCCGTGTGCCTGTAATCCCAGCTACCCAGGAGGCTGAGGCAGAAGAATCACTAGAACCCAGGCGGAAGAGGCTGCAGTGAGCTGAGATTGTACCACTGCACGCCAGCCTGGGCGACAGACCAAGACTCCATCTCGAAAAAAAAGGAAAAGAAAAAAAAAAAATAGAACAAATGGTTTAAATACAACTTGTATGCCTTACCCAACTACCATTTTAGTTCACATAGGCACCAACAGCGCCTCTTTGTTCCTTAGTATTTCTGCCTACTTAAATGATTTAAATATTTTCTCTTATAGCTAAATATTCATGCAGATTTTACCATTTTCATAGCAAATGCCTTCCAATATATGCTTAACTTTTCCTGTTTATTAATAAAACTATGATGCTCATCCTTATAGTTGAATGTGAATACATATCACAAAGATAAATTTCTAGAGGCGAATTGTTGAGGTCATATCCCTTATTTTAGGCTTCTAATATACTAAACTGCCCTCCAGAAAGGCTGTATTTATTCAACAACCCTTTTGCCTGTTTTCACAGTCTGGCTCAAACTAGTATTGTCACTATATTTAGTATAGTTATTCTTAAACAATTTAACAATATTCTGGGCAAAATGACATATTTTTTTTTTTTTTGGAGATGGGGTCTCGCTCTGTCACCCAGGTTGGAGTGCAGTGGCACGATCTCTGCTCACTGCAATCTCTGTCACCCAGGCTTAAGCAGTTCTCCTGCCTCAAGCTGGGATTACAGGTGCACGCCACCACGCTGGGCTAATTTTTGTATTTTTAGTAGAGACGGGGTTTCGCCACATTGGCCAGTCTGGTCTCGAACTCCTGACCTCAGGCGATCCACCCGCTACGACCTTCCAAAGTGCTGGAATTATTACAAGTGTGAGCCACCCCACCTGGCCCCATATGGTTTCTTTACTTTGTCTCTGATTATTAGGTGAAGTTATACCGTTTTTTTTTTTTTTTTTGAGAGAGTTTTGCTCTTTTTTTTGAGACAGTTTTGCTCTATCACCCAGGCTGGAGTGCAGTACTGCAATCTCAGTTCACTGCAAACTCCACCTTCCAAGTTCAAGCGATTCTTGTGCCTCAGCTTCCTGATTAGCTGGGATTATAGGCCCCCACCACCATGCCTGGATAATTTTTGTATTTTTAGTAGAGATGGGGTTTCACCACATTGGGCAGGCTGGTCTCAAACTCCTGACCTCGGGCAATCTGCCTGTCGTGGCCTCCCAAAGTGATAGGATTACAGGTGTGAGCCACCACACCTGGCCATTACATTTTCTTAATCTATTTGTTGATCATATGTCTTCTTTTCTGACTTAGCTGTTCATGTCCCTTGACCATTTTCTTCTGATTTGTAGGAACTTTAAAAAATAAACAAGTAAATAAGAATAATCTCTTATCTATTATAAGTGTTACAAATATAATATCTAAAAATGACTGTTTGTCCCAAGATTTGTAAAGACATTGGGTATGTCATAACATGAGCTCAAGATCATCAGGGTTGTAGTTGGAACAGAGGAGAAAGAATTATATGTTCTCTACTCAGCTTTAGTGAACACTGGGTGAGTTAGAGAAAATGATATACTATGTTTAAATGCTGTAGACTCAGTAACAAAGATAATACTGCTCATTATGATCCAGGAGTATATAACATTTTAGTTACCTTAGGGTCAATGAGATCATTTTTCAGACCTCTTGGCTTTCTCATCATAGACCAATAATCATGACACATGCCACGAACATACCACTGCTGCCCAGAAACCTGCACGTGCAGCAAGACTTGCTGCGTCAGCCAGCGTGGGGATTGTTCAAAACAAGGCCATCATTTCAAAGATGTGCAAACGTCAGTGAGAGCTTAGGCTCCAGTGAAAGTAAGAGGCACATTACCATGTGGATGGGACTTGAACCACGATTCTAGAGCCTTCTAAACTGATCTGGGGGGCATAGGCTTCTTTATTCTCAATCTGTGCTGTGTCAACCACCACCTAAGATAGAAAAAAACAACAAATAACAACAACCAGCTTTCAGAGAGGAAAACGCATCAGAATAAAATCCAATACATAAAATGACTCTCTAAGAACTATTCCCCTAGCAGCCTAGTTATGCCAAGGCCAGTCAGGGCCCCATGAAGACAACAGCAAGTAGTAAAGATGACCAAATCTAAGAACATTTCAACAAACAGAAACCACATTCTGGGCATGGGATTTACTGAACTGGCAAGCACCTCTAGCACTTTTTCCAAACTATAAATATGTTAATTAGGAGGAATTAATGTGTGTCCTTTATCTTAGTATTTTTTACTTTACGCACTTAAAAGAAGTGAAAGTATCACTGAAAGTCAAACCAGGCTGGGTGCAGTGGCTCACGCCTGTAATCCCAGCACATTGGGAGGCTTAGGCGGGTGGATCACTTGAGGTCAGGAGTTTGAGACCACCCTGGCCAACATGGTGAAACCCCCATGTCTGCTAAAAATACAAAAATTAGCCAGGCATGGTGGTCCTGTAGTGCAAGCTACTCAGGAGGCTGAGGCAGGAGAATTGCTTGAACCCGGGAGGCAGAGGTTGCAGTGAGCTGAGATCATGCCACTGCACTCCAGCCTGGGCGACAGAGCGAGACTCCATCTCAAAAAAAAAAAAAAAAAAAAAGTCAAACCAATGCTTCAGATAAGCCCAATTGTCATGACATGCCCAGAAGTGGATGAAACTTTTTTTAAAGATTATTTTATCCTCAACCATCAATAAAAACTGAACTACTTCAGGACAGAGGAAGAACTAACCCCTTTTTGAATAATTTCCTCTTATTTCCAGGAAGAGTCTTTAATACTAGATAGGTGATAGAGTATCCTATGTAATCTAGAGTCTGACAAAGTGATGAATATATTTTCAAATAACTAAAAGAATGTTTTAAAAAATCATAAAATATTTTAAAACCAAATCTGTAATATTTCAGAAGGGGTAAAACTGTGTAGAGTTGTGTATCATATTCCAAATTCAGCCTCTAATGCAGCCAGCTTTTACTGGTTTAAAGAGTTCCCATAGCTGATCTGCAATGACCTTTGGAAAAAACTTCCTGTCAAAGGAATAGCCATTGTTGGACCACACAGGTGTTTCCTCTCTCCTCCCATCCCCAGAACCATAACCTAAAGTCACACATAAAAGCATCCTGCAATCAAGACGCAAGGAACTAGGAAGAAGTTTCTGCTCTCTGAATAACATGGAACTTTTTTTTTTTAAACCTACAGTGTTTTCTCAAAATAGCCTTTGTGCCTTTTGGCCTTATTTTGCACACTTCTTTCAGGGGAACTCATTGGCATGGTCCTTGCAGTTTCGGCTAAATGGTCTCTGGGAGTATAGATCAGTATCGTAAAGCCAATGGGCTTTTCCATGCTTCAGCAAGGCATGTCTGGTTTACTACTTCTTTTGGAGGTCCCTATACTGAGGAAAAGATCCCAAATGAAATGTAACTCATTACTGTGAACAGGCCCTCATCTGAGTCTCCACAAGGCAGCCCCACTTGGAGCTGGGCTGCCTGAGCCCTGACCCGCTTGAAACAAAAGGACAGCATACCCTCAATAGCTCTTTTTGTGAATAAAGTAGGAATCAGACTAAAAAACAAGTTCTTTAATTTTCTTAATCTCCAATTAGGTCCTTCCAACCTCTGACCGAAATGCCGTATCTTTTTTTTTTTTTTTTTGAGACTGGGTCTCACTCTATCACCCAGGCTGGAGTGCAGTGGCATAATCTCGGCTCACTGCAACCTCTGACTCCTGGGTTCAAGTGATTCTCATGCTTCAGCCTCTCAAGTAGCTGGGATTACAGGTGCCCGCCACCAAACCTGGCTAATTTTTGTATTTTTAGAGACGAGGTTTCGCCATGCTGGCCAGGCTGGTCTTGAACTCCTGACCTCAGGTGATCTACCTGCCTCAGCCTCCCAAAGGGTTGGGATTAGAGGTGTGAGCCACCACGCCCTGCCACCATATCTTTTTGAAACGTTGTCATTTACTAGAAAGGGAGATCAAATACATAAGATTCTATGGGTCAGTGGTGCAAACAAAAAGCTACATGGTGATTTCAGATGTCGATCTCCTGACCCACTCAACTCTGGCCAAAGTTTTTTTTCCTCTGAAAGATGAACAAATCATTATTTTTTAGTTGATGTTACTTTACTGCTAAGAAGGAGATAAACAGAACTGGTATACAGTGACTGGATCGGGGCACTTCTTATACCTTTGTGGTCAAGGTAGGCCTCTCAGAGGAGGTGATTTTGGAGCTGACACCAGGAAGATAAGGAGTGACCTACATGATAATCAGAGAGAAGAGTATTTTCAGATAAAAGGGGCATCAAGAGCACAGGCCTGGGACAGGAAGAAGCATGGGATGTTTGAGCAACAGACATCCAATGTAGGTCCAGAATAGGGGCTAGGTTAAGGGGCCCTGTCAAATTGTTACTAATGTAATTTTTCTTTTCTTTTCTTTTCTTTTTTAAAGGCCAGGTATGGTGGCTCATGCCTGTAATTCCAGCAGTTTGGGATGCCTAAGTGGACGGATCACGAGGTCAGGAGTTCGAGACCACCCTGGCCAACATAGTGAAACCTTGTCTCTACTAAAAAATACAAAAATTAGCCAGGCATGGTGGTGCATACCTGTAGTTCCAGCTACTCGTGAGGCTGAGGGAGGAGAATCACTTGCCCGGGAGGCAGAGGTTGTGGTGAGCCGAGATCACGCCACTGCACTGCAGCCTGTGCAACACAGCAAGACTACATCTCAAAAAAAAAAAATTACCCGGGTGTGGTGGCGGGCACCTGTAATCTCAGTTACTTGGGAAGCTAAGGCAGGAGAATCACTCAAACCTAGGAGGCAGAGGTTGCGGCGAGTTGAGATTGTGTCACTGCACTGCAGCCTGGGCAACAGAGCAAGAGTCTGTCACAAAAAAAAAAAGAAAAAAATAGAGGTAGGGTCTCACTATGTTGCCCAGGCTGATTTAAAACTCCTAGACTTAAGCAATCCTCCTGCCAAAGTGCTGGGACTACAGGCATGAGCCATGGGGCCCAGCCTGTAATAGTTTTCTTAAAATGAGCAAAGCCCATAGCATCATTTTGCAAGTAGGTTCCCTGCAAATATGTATTATCAATCTGATTTTTCTTTTTAAAGAGATTTTTAAAATGCTGCTCTTCCTTTACCTTGTCTACCTTCCTGGTCTAAATTCCATAGCACCAAATAACTTTTTAAATTATTCAATATTTTCACACATGTGTCTGCACCACATCCTCATATGCTTGAAACATCTTGGTATTCCACCTATCATCCACCACCCGCACTCACTCACCAGTCCAGCCTGGCCAAACAGCAGCTGCACCGCCGTCTTGCAGGCACCCCGCCATGTGGATGGGCAAACCTGGTTCAGCACTTCAGTCACAGGAAAATCATCCCTGGATGTGATTCCATTATAGCAGCCTGCTTCCTTCATCAGCTGTAACATTGTATGCTATAGATTGATAAGAAGAGAGTTCACACCTCAAGACAAAGCCATGCAAGGTTCTAAAATTTGTAAAAATGCATTTATACAATCATCCTCAAAAGAAGAGCATTTTATTTATATGTTTTTTGAGACATGGTCTCACTCTATCGTCTAAGCTGCAGACCAGTGGCATGAACATGGCTCACTGCAGCCTCGACCCCTCAGGCTTATGTGATTCTCCTGCTTCAAGCCTCCCCAGTAGCTGGGACCACACAGGTAGGTGCACACCACCACACTCAACAAATTTTTAAATTTTTTGTAGACGTGGAGTCTTGCTATGTTGCCCAGGCTAGTCTTGAACTTCTGGGAGAAGGGCAACTTTTTTTTTTTTTTGAGACGCAGCCTTGCTCTGTTGCCTAGACTGGAGTGCACTGACACAATCTCAGCTCACTGCAACCTCCACCTCCTGAGTTCAAGCAATTCTTCTGCCTCAGCCTCCTGAGTAGCTGGGATTATAGGCACCCGCCACTACACCCAGCTAATTTTTGTATTTTTAGTAGAGATGGGGTTTTGCCATGTTGCTCAGGCTGGTCTTGAACTCCTGACCTCAGGAGATCCGTCCACCTCAGCCTCCCAAAGTGCTGGGATTACAGGCATGAGCCACCACGCCTGGCTCAAGAAGAGCATTTTAAATACACCCTAATTATGTCATTTGAACTTCTTTAGTAATGATCATCAATCACTCTCAGAGATTTTCTCAACTCCATAGAGTGAATGACTAGATATGGATACATATGCAATAATATACACAGGTATTTCTATACCAGCACAAAATATAGAATTATTTAGCAATCTACTGATGTGAACTGATAGAGGAATTTTGAAATTCTGAATCCCTCCAAATAGGGAAACAAAATCATCTGATACAAGCAAATACCAATTAAAATCTCAATTTGATTTTGGATGACCAAGTAGTCAGGTATTCAGGCTCTGGAAACAGATTACATAAGCTCAAATTCTAGCTCTTCTACTTTCTAGCTGTGTGACCTTGGGTATCAGTTCCCAGGTGTGGCAGGTGGGCCAAAGGGCAGCACCCCCACCTCATGGGTGAGCATTAAGTGAGACAACGATGTGCAGCACCTGGCACAATGACTGGAACACATGATGTTCCACAAATAATCATTATCACTGCAGCATTATGACAGTATCTCTCTTCTTATGTAATTCATACAAGTCCACGGAGAGACATTAATCATAAATAATATCTTATAGTGTACTTTCAAACCCTTTCTGTTAAACATCTGAATAAAATTATGAATAAAACTCTCTTGGCCCAGCTCGGTGGCTCATGCCTGTAATCCCAGCACTTTGGGAGGCCAAGTAAGGTGGATCAGCCGAGGCCAGGAGTTCGAGACCATCCTGGCCAACACAGTGAAACCCCGTCTCTACTAAAAATACGAAAATTAGCCAGGCTTGGTAGCACATGCCTGTAGTCCCAGCTTCTTCAGAGGCTGAGGGAGGAGGATTGCTTGAACCCAGGAGGTGAAGGTTGCAGTGAGCTGAGATAGATCACACCACTGTACTCCAGCCTGGACGAGAGAGTAAAACTCCATCTCAAAAAACAAAAAAAAACTTGCTTGACAAATGTCTGATTAAAGTCTCCATAGGTCTGCTTTTTAATTTTTTTTTTTTTTTTTTTTTTTTAAAGACAAGAGTTTTGCTCTTGTTGCCTAGGCTGGAGTGCAATGGCACAATCTTAGCTCACTGCAGCCTCCACCTCATGGGTTCAAGCAATTCTCCTGCCTCAGCCTCCCGAATAGCTGGGACTACAGGCGTGTGCCACCACACCAGGCTGATTTTTGTATTTTTAGTAGAAATGGGGTTTCACCATGTTGATCAGGCTAGTCTCAAACTGCTGACCTCAGGTGATCCACCTGCTTTGGCCTTCCAAAGTGCTAGGATTACAGGCGTGAGCCACCACACCCGGCCCCATTTTGTTTTTTAATCTACATCCTTTGCAAGCCTTTACATTTCTCTTAAGAACTCTATTTTCAAGTTCACACTCAGTTGCTGGAACCCCATGGAAAGCTACCGTCTTAAGTTTCAGATTGTCGGCGGCCGACTCATTAAAGGAGACGCCCTTCAGGAAGTGCGATCCTATCTGCACAGGGACGGTGGGGAGCTCACACTGCATGGGCTGCGGGGGTGTCTGCCTCCGCCCTGTCTGCTGGGCTTCCGCCTCGCTGCAGCAGCCCTGGAAAAGGCATGGATGGAAGAGGAGAGGTGACCCATTGCTCATCTGTTAAAACACTTGGTTCACATTACACTGCAGCAGCAGCAGCACCCTATGTCCCCAGAGCTTTAGGAAGGAAAAGTGTACCTGCAAACTTGCTTCAATCGCCTTTGGATTCAGGTGGAAGCCAGCTTTCATTGCATATTCACAGTGTCCTAAGCTTTCCAGAGCTATCTTATATGCCTGGAAATAAGTTATTTTTAACAATCAAGATCATAAAGCAAATTATAAGATGACAAAGTTCAATGGAAATAGAAGTCTTAAATTTCTATAGCTATTAAAAGACTGGAGGCCAATTACTACTCTAAAACCCTTTGTAATTGGTTCAACATCACAACTTTAACTCCCTCCCTTGTTTCTATCCCATGGAAATCAGTATGTCAGTTCTGAAAAACTTACTTGCAAAGCACTGTCAATTTTTATGTTCAGTTCTTTTAGCTGGTGCTCAGGAATTGCTGCACTTTGAGAACAAAAGAGTTGTTGAACTTCAATTCCTGCCAGGCAACCATCACAGCCTCTTTCTCTTAGCCTAGATGTCGCCTGCAACATATATAGTAACTGGTAGGTAAAAGAGGGTTGCACAGTTCTTGCAACATTAGACCCACAATAACAACAAGAAAAACCCCCTCAACTAAAATGCAGCAATAAACCATCTAAGCAAATAAACTAGAAGTTCTAGATTGTTTGTATTGCAAAGTGAGCAGCCCAAATTTTGAAAGCCTAATTAACCATCCTGAAGATAAAGGAAATCTCCCTTTATTTTATTTTATTTTTTTTTGAGACAAGGTCTTACTCTGTCACCCAGGCTGGAGTGCAGTGGTGCTATCTCGGCTAACTGCAACCTCCACCTCCCAAGTTCAAGCAATTCTCCTGCTGAACTCAGCCTCCCGAGTAGCTGGGATTACAGGCGCCCACCACCGTGCCCAGTTAAGTTCTGTATTTTTAGTAGAGATGGGGTTTCATGATGCTGGGTCAGGCTGGTCTTCAACTCCTGACCTCAGGTGATCCACCCACCTCGGCCTCCCAAAAGCTGGGATTACAGGCTTGAGCCACGACACCCGGCCAAAATCTCCCTTTATTTTAGGAACCCTGGAAAAAAGACTTACCTACTTGTTATTTGTTTTATATATACATATATATATTCAGACATTTTTAACTTTCCTGCTTTAAAAAGACAGGTTACCTAGAATATTGGCACTTGGAGTTTCCAGAATAAAAAAAGAAAGGAAGAACATACATGGTTGGGCATTCCTACACAGTGAAGGAAAAGGCCACATGAATACAAAACAGGAAAAATATACATTGGCATGTTAACAGAAAAACAGAGCTTTTGAAATCTGCACAGAAAATTAAATATTTATTGTTCAGTCACTACATATGTTTTTGAAGAGTAGATAAGCAAGATAGAAAAGGAGAAACTAATCTGTGTCATTTGATGATTAAATGCAGAAAATATATACATGGATCAGGACAAGAAGAGAATACAGAAAAATATATATTTGATTTATTAGATGGGATTACAGACGAACTGTTTTTAGATTTCTATTTTTGTTGCAATTCTGTGAACCAAGTAACATTTTTTAGCAGTTAACTTTTGTTCTGCTGGGCCAGTGTAGGAGTTGTAATATTTACAAAACTTGCAGACTACAGGAAAATGACTAGCTGCTGTAATGCCGTAAAGTTCCAAAGCTTTGGTTTCACAAACTGTATGTAAACACCCTTCCCTGAAGCCTAACAGTCTCACAGTTTAAAACTGTTTGACTCTTTCTAAGGATCTTTCAGTCAAATATTTAGCTCACAAGGTGGTGTATTAGGTACATGCTGGAGCACAAAGCTGCTCCTTACCCCCTCCTGGAGCTGACAGCCTCATGGCCAAAAAGATGAACAAGGAAAACATAATTATAAATGGAGAAAAAACACTGAGGGAAACAGAGGACTACACCAGGGAGTGTCCTAGACACCCAGAAAGCAGTATTTAGGGTGAGAATTAGAGGAGAAGGTCATGAATGGAATTGCATGTGTGTGGGGTGGGGTGGGGGTGTCAAGACCTACAGACGGGTCCATGAAACAGGCCAAGGATCCAAGATAACAAAGACACATCCAAGGAACTAGAGCCCAGCGAGCGAGGGCAGGGTGGCCACTGATAAGGCTGGCCATCAAGGCAGGAGCCAGACTAGGCAGGTCTAGGCAGGTCGTGCCAAGGGGTCCACGTGCTACCCTAAGGAAATGAGAAGCAACATCATCCAATTTTAAAATGAAGGAGAGCAAGACAGGGAGGGGAGAAGTAACGATTCCCTGAACGAGGGTAGTGATAAAGGACATGGAAGAAGGGGACAGATCTGGGATAGGATTTTGGAGGTGGGACCTGCCTGGTTTTCTTAAGGACTGGACTAGGTGTGGACATGATGGAAATGCTGAAGGATAAATCTCAGCTTTCTCAAGTGAACAACCCAGTGTGGGATGGCACCGCTTACTAGCATATGGAGGGTCTAGGAACAGGTGAGTGGAGAGAGGCTATGCCCGAGCCACCTGCGAGACCCCTGGTAGCAGCTGAGCTCAGGTGCCTGAAGCCCACAGGAAGTGGGCTGCTCACTGGTCACACACATTTGAGCCCCCTCCCAGGACACAGGTGGCTTTTTGAGTCCCAAGACTGTATGGAGAACCCCTAAGGAGAAGGGCGCTAACTGAATGAGCCTGGAGAAACTCATTCAGAAGTTGTGTTGAGGAAGGAGAGGCCAGTAAACTAGATGAAGAAAGGATGACCCAAGAGGAAAGAAAGCCTGGTTCTTGGATGTCACAAGATGAGCGTATTTCCAGGGAGGAGTATTCTCCACATTGCTGTGAGCTGCTGAAAGTTGTTGAAAGGCTTCCCTGGATTTGAAAACACGGAAGGAAGGCACCAATGACCTTGATAAGAGAAGGCATGTTCTTGTATAGGAGTGGAAGCCAGATTTCAGCAAGCTGAATGACATCATGTACATAAAGTTTCAGACTGTGTAAAATAATACCTTATATATGGATACATTCATATATGGAAAAATACTAAAATACGCACAAGAATCACAGGCTTCAAATTCAAAAGAGGTTATTTCTAGAGACAAAGGGATGAATAAGAAAGTGGAGAGGTACAAAAGGGATTCAAGTGAATTTGCAGACTGGGTGCAGGAGCCTAGGAGCTGGGGACCGGCCTGGGAACATAGCAAGACCCTGTCTTTGATAAAATAAATAAACAGTAAAATAAAATAAATAATTAGCCAAGCATGGTGGTGCATGCCTATAGTCTGAGCTACTCAGGAGGATTGCTTGAGCCAAGGAGGTCAAGACTGCAGTAAGCTGTGATCACCACGGCACACCAGCCTGGGCAACAAAGCAAGACCCAGTCTTAAAAAAAAAAAAAAAAAAAAAAAAAAAAGGGGCACTGGTGATACTTTTCTGTTAAAAATATGCAACAGGCATGAGCAAATATGGCAGGCAGCTAAAAGGAAGATACTGATGGGTATGAAATGTTCTATATGCCTGAAATACTTCAACAATAATTACTTTTTAGATTACTCCGGGTAAACTGTCTATGGGGTGTGCCAGGAGCAGTAAGGAGCCACAGGGTGCAGTAAAAATAAAACAGTAATTTTTTAGAATGAATGAAAAGTGAAAGAAAGGCAGACAACTACTCCAAGAAGTTGGCTGAGAAAAGAGCAGAGAAATGGACTTTTCTGTGGGAAGCATCTTTGTATACTGGCGGGAACAGGCTGAGGATGAGGGAGAGAAAACACTGGGTCACACCACAGAAGCTGGGCCCTCAAGGATGGGGGCAAGGCGGGTACCGGAAATCCTGGACAGGAGGAGACAGTACCTCCCCTGCTGTCATGAGGCAGGAGAAGGAAGAAAAGATGGGTGTGATGCGGGGTGGCAGGGGCGGTGGTGGCTTGGCCACATGAGGAAGAAGGGCTGCCATCAGGGAGATTCTATTTTCTCAGTGTAGTGGGAGGTGGCATCACTGGCTGAAAGCAAAGGAGTGTAAAAAGAGCAGAAAGGCCTGGACAGACTAAAATGGTGGCAGAAAAGGTCAAGGTGAAAAGGTCAAGAGAGCACTCGGAGGCCTCCTACTGTGGGCTGGTCCTCGGCATGAGTGGTCCAGAAGATGGAGCAGGGGACCAAGGCAGGTGTTAGGTTCACATGTGTGAGCTGAACAGTCAGGAGGCTGGGGCCCAGCAGCCAAGAGGACACCAAGGGCTGTAAAGTCACACGACAAGGCGACAAGGTGCAGGTCTGGACCTCAGGGTCCAGCCATCTACAATAAAGCCAACTGGTCCCACCCCCACACACAGCCTCCAATTAGCATTCCAGGGCCTTTCTGATGAACAGAAAGCCAGCTCAAGGAAAGTCTTTAGCATGAAAGACAGACCAAAACATGCAAGCAAACAGGAAAAAGACCAAAACATGCAAGCAAACAGTGAAAATTAAAAAGAAATGACAACAATGCAGCAAATGGCATGAAATTGAAATAATAAAACTAGAGACTGGACAATATTAAGATGTGAAAAATCATGTTTTGAAAATTTTACTAAAGAAAATTTCCAGAACATAAAATGAAACACTTTGCCAAGTTCATTATGGAATGATGTGAACTAGACATTAATGAATCACTATACTGTTAACTATAAATTATGGTTTACTCTGTGTTTGCCTGTTGGGATAGTTTTAAAAAATTATCTTTTGGCCCGGGTGGTGCCTCACGCCTGTAATCCCAGCACTCTGGGAGGCCAAGTCAGGTGGATCACCTGAGGTCAGGAGCTTGAGACCATCCTGGCCAGTGTGACGAAACCCCATCTCTACTAAAAATAAAAAATTGGCTGGGCATGGTGGCGGGCACCTATAATCCCAGCTACTGAGGAGGCTGAGGCAGGAGAACTACTTGAACACGGGAGGCGGAGGGTGCAGTGAGCGGGGATTGTGCCACTGCACTCCAGCCTGGGCGAAAGAGTAAGACTCTGTCTCAAAAAAAAAAAAAAAAAAAAAGAAAAGAAAATTATCTTTTACTCTGTAAAATGGAGCAGTAAGTCCTAGTTAAAGTCTCAACTTCTAATGTTTATTTTTTATTTCTCATACTGGAAACAAAGATGTAGTAAAATGCCTACAAGAAATGTCACCGATGGCCAGGAGTAGTGGCTCACATCTGTAATCCCAGCATTCTGGAAGGCCAAGGAGGGTGGATCACCTGAGGTCAGGAGTTCGAGACCAGCCAGGCCAACATGGTGAAACCTCATCTCTACTAAAAATAAAAAAATTAGCCTGGCGTGGTGGTGTGTGCCTGTTATCCCAGCTACTCGGGAGGCTGAAGCAGGAGAATTGCTTGAACCTGGGAGGTGGAGGTTGCAGTGAGCCAAGATCACGCCATTGCACTCCAGCCTGGGCAACAAGAGCGCAACTCTGTCTCCCAAAAGAAATGTCACTGATCATAGGCAAAAGTCTCCTTAAAACAGACTTTTTCAGAGCTGTTTTTGATTGCCTTTTATTTAAGCTTAAATGCTTCTGGCTGTGGAAAAGGAATAGAGAATGCCACATCAGAGTGACTAGGAAAGCAACCCTGCACTAGGCTGGAATCGCCCCACCGGAGTGGCTCCCTGCAGCCCACCATTCAGTCATAAGGTTGTCACCACGAGAGGAGACTCGCACAATTCTCCCCCACGTTATTGCTGATGACCATGCCACACCATCCCACACCACTGCGCTCTCTATCCACTAGGGAGCCAACCTCCTGGTCTAGCTCTTGCATGATGGTTAGATTTTATAAACATATCTGCTGTGCTGGGAAATAGCCAATCTTCCAAGGGATAAAAGACTTCATGTTGGTCCGGTGTGGTGGCTCACGCCTGTAATCCCAGCACTTTCAGAGGCCAAGGCAGGTAGATCACAAGGTCAGGAGTTCAAGACCAGCCTGGCCAAGATGGTGAAACCCTGCCTCTACTAAAAATACAAGACTTAGCTGGGCTAAAATACAAAAATTAGCCAGGCGTGGTGGCGGGCATCTGTAATCCCAGCTACTTGGGAGGCTGAGGCAGAGAATTGTTTGAACCCAGCAGGCGGAGGCTGCAGTGAGCCAAGATCGTGCCACTGTACTCCAGCCTGGGTGACAGGGCGAGATCCCGTATCAAAAAAAAAAAACAAAAAACAAAAAAAAAATTCATGAAGTCACATAAAGCATACTAGAGGACTGCTCAAATCACATATAAAGCAACTGACAAATGAGGATGTAGGCAGAGTTAGATCAATTAAGAATCTTGTCCACGCCTGTAATCCCAGCACTTTGGGAGGCCGAGGCAGGCAGATCACGAGGTCAAAAGATCAAGATCATCCTGGCTAACATGGTGAGACCCCATCTCTTACCAAAAAAAAAAAAAAAAAAAAAAGCCGGGCGTAGTGGCAGGCGCCTATAGTCCCAGCTACTCAGGAGGCTGAGGCAGGAGAATGGCATGAACTCGGGAGGCAGAGCTTGCAGCGAGCCAAGATCATGCCACTGCACTCCAACCTGGGGGACAGAGTGAAACTCCATCTCAAAACAAAACAAAACAAAATAAAACAAAACAAAACAAAAAAGAATCTTGTCTGGGCACAGTGGCTCATGTCTGTAATCCCAGCACTTTGGGAGGCAGAGGTAGGTGGATCACTTGAGCCCAGCAGCTCAAGACCAGCCTGGACAACACAGTGAGACTCCATCTCTACCAAAAAAAAAAAAAAAAGAATAATAGTAATAGTAATAGTAATAATAATAATAAGCTAGACATGGTGGCATGAGCCTGTAGTCCCAGCTACTTGGAAGAGGCTGAGGTGGGAGGATCTCTTGAGCCTGGAGGTCCAGGCTGTAGTGAGCCTTGATCACAGCACTGCACTTCAGCCTAGGCAGCAGAGCGAGACCCTGTCTCAAAAAAAAAAAAAAAAAAAGAAAAAAGAAAAAGAAAAGAAAAACTTAAAGAATTAAAAAAGTTTCAAAGATTCCAAGCCCTGCTATAGGGAATGATTTGACTAGCAAAAAACAGACAAAATTCCCTGTGTCCACTGAGCTCTCACCCTGCTGTGGTTTTATCTTTGGAGCCTGCCATCCCATCTGTCTGCCAAACACTCCTGCTCGTCTGCCTTGCTGCCTGGCTGGCCACTTACCCTCCCCAGACAGCTCCACCCCGTCTTTCCTGACTTGGGTGCCAGCCTCTTCTCACTGGTCCCCCATCTTAGCTTTCCTGCAGCACTACTGTTCAGAGACATGACCCTCCCTTCCTCTGGCTCCCGCACATCTCCATCCTGGCCCCTTAACCCTGTTTTTGTAAGCCTATTCTCCCAGCAGGCTGTGAGTAGAGGTTGTCATCCTAGTGCCTGGCACAAAGTGGGCATTCACAAAGATGTTCACTGTTAAATGAATGAACAAGCTAATGAAACAGTTTAAAATGTACATTTCTAAATGAAATGGCTCTTTTGAGAATCAACAGGCAAAGGCCCTCTGGAGCCTCTCCTATTTGAACACAGGTACCAATCTCCCCAAAGCCAGGGTTACCTCAGCAGCCCCCCGCCAGGACCGCACAGCTTCTTCCAGTTCAGGTGTGTGGCCCATGCCAGATAAGCTGCTGCCACTGCTGCTGTTCTTTTTTTCTGGCACAATGACCTCAGCAAAGCAAGAGTGAGCCACCGGCTGGACCTTCTGTAATGCATGAGTCAAAAACTGGAAATGGACTTGCACCACAGTCAGGAAACATCGCCCCAACACCTGTGAAAACAAGACAGCCAGGGATGTTTAGGTTGTGGGTTGCTGTTGGATTCGCGCAGTAAATTTTCAGTGACCAACTTAATAGAAGCAATGGTTAACTGGAATTCCAAAATCATACAAAGTTAAAAGGCCACCATGCTTCAGAAGGATCTGCCTTTGTTTTTGTGTTTGGACCTCAGTGACTGATGCCTAGAAGTCAAAACATTTCCATCAAATAACAAGGTCCAAGGTTGAAATAAGTCTTCCCATTTCCCACCAACTTGCCCCCAATCCTGTTCTCCACTCCCTACATCTAGACTCACACCACTTCTGGTGTCTCTGAGCTCCTGCTGAACCACAGTCACCCACAACTGCAATTATGTCCACACAGTATTCAGAAGGTAAAGAAAAAAACCATGCAACTGAAAATCTGAAAGAAGGCCAATTTGACCATAAGACATTCCACTGAAAATGGAATCCAAATATACTGGTTATTTTAGTAAGAGTGTTAACATAGTTATTAACATAGTCATATGTCATCTTTCCAGTCTTACGAAACAAAGCTGACAGACCAGTCTTCCAGGAGTCAAGAAAATATAATGGACAGCTCCATTAGCCTGATATATATCCGTGATTGGCTGCTAATAGACCAAGGAGGAAATTAACTTAAAAAATACTATACACATAAATATGTAATTATAATAAGATGTATACTAAATACATACTACGTGCCACAAACATTTTCAGATATGATTGTGCATTTCTCTGGCAGCCTTCTGGTATGGGCTAAGGCTGTTCTGACAGCTCCTTTGCTGCTCCTCCCTGTTACTCTCTTGTGTAAACCAGTTACAATGTGTTCTCTATCATTTATTATTTATCTTTCTTTTTTTTGAAATGGAGTCTCGCTCTGTCACCCCGGCTGGAGTGCAGTGGCATGATCTCGGCTCACTGCAACCTCCACCTCCCGAGTTCAAGCGATTCTCTGACCTGAGTGCACCATCACACCCAGCTAATTTTTGTATTTTCAGTAGAGATGGGGTTTCACCATGTTGGCCAGGCTGGTCTCAAATTCCTGACCTCAGGCACTCCACCTGCCTCGGCCTCCCAAAGGGCTGGGATTACAGACGTGACTTACCATGGCCGGCCTTATTTCCTCTTTAACACAGGGCAAAAACCTGCCACTTACAAAGCAACCTGACCACAAACCTTCCAGATTATTGACATTTTTTCCTAATCTCTCATAGTTGTTTTGCCCACATCAGATCTGACAATAATACTAACAAAAACCTTTTGCAGCTCTTTTATCCTGTTCCCTAATAATCTTTTTGTGGAAGATATTTTATATTTCTTTGGCTTATGCAGATTACTTACTCACAACTTACTTTACTGAGTTTGCAATTCACCCAACTGAGCAGGAGTGGACCTGAGAGAGCAGGCCCTCAGCCCACTGCCTCGTGGAAGTAGTGAAGGTCAGGGAACTATGGCCATTGCTTTTTACAAGGAACCAAAATCCAGCACAGTGCCCATGCACTGTCCTGACCCTTCAGCAGCACACAGTAACACTGAACCTTCCTCTCCCCTCAGATGAACACGTGGACTCTCTGCCTTGTGGCATGCATGTGGACCTCTCACCCTGCCTTACCTCACGCACATGCGCAGATTCCTTGGGTGCAGTGCGCAGGTGGACCTCTCGCCTCACCTCAGCATCTACCCTTTGCCACATGCCCTCTCAGTTCCCACGAGTCAGAGCTGTTTCCTAGAGAAGCAGGGGCAAGCCAGTTCCCAGCATGACACTTATTCTCTCTGAATCCCTCCTCACCCCGTAGAAATCACCAGGACCAACTAAAGCAAACAAAAAACCGACAAATCTCACACCAAAGCATCCACCCTCCAGAGTGAACAAATGGCATTACAGGCTGAAGTCCCCCAAACTCCTGGGCTTCCACTCACACCTCCTCAGAGCACTTTCCCCAGTGCTCTGTGCTAGACTGGGCAGGGTGAGGGACACAGAGGCAGCGCACCTAGGCCAGTCAGACAGGTGCCAGGAGTAGAATAAGCAGCAGCTATTCAGTCCTATGGAGCACCCAGACAGCTTTAGTGGAGCAAGCAGCCTGGACCTGACCAACGCTGGAGAGTCACATGGGCTAGAGCATTCAATCCCAGGAACCACCCTGTGAGGTCATCCTCCCTTCACAGACAACAAGATCGAGATATAGAAAGGCTGTGAAATATTGTCAAGGTGATACAAACTAGATGTGGTGGACCAGTCACCTGACTCAAATGTCCATGCCCTTCACTTGTGTGCCCCACTGCCTTCAGCAGACTCTAAACTGGGATCAACTGGCACGTGACAGAAACTCCACCTTAAATGGTGTAGGCTGAAGGTGTCCTCAATCTCCTCATCCACTGCAGACACAGGGAGGGGGAGTGAGCTGGCTCCCCAAGGACACAAACTCTTCCTCCCTCTCCTTCCTTAGCACCTTGGCAGCTATGGGAAGCTGCAGGAGGAGGAGAAAGGGAAGACGCCATGCTCCATTAGCTCTGGGTTCACACGCTCACAGCTCTGACGGACACAACTGAGTCATTCATTCTCTCAATAAATATATAACATGGGGATGCCTAATATGCACCAAGCACAAGGAGCTGGGAACACTACCGGAAAGAGAATGAGCAAGTCCCTGCTCTCACCAGGGTGACATTCTAATGGGGGAGTCAACAGGCAATGAACAGATATGCAAGGTCGGGTGCTGCTGGGAAAGGAACATAGGCGGGTGGGAAGGAAAAGGCTCTCCGAGGAAATGACCAAGGGCAAAGAGAGAGCTACCCTATTACCTCCTAAGGGGCAAAGTTCTGAGGAATGGCTGAAGGCCTGAAGGAGGGCCCCCAGATCAAGAACAGGATGCTCTCTGACAAGGCCATCACCCCTGGGGAGAATGAGGTAGAGGAAGCCCTTTTGCTATGGAGTGGCAGTAAGAAAGGCAGAACGCTGCCGTAGGAAGGAGTGGGGTAAGAGACTTGGGTCAGTTTTAAAAGGCATTGTCTGTGTTGTCTCCACCACTTAGGACCTGTTTGACCTTGGATGAGTCATTTAACCTAAGCTTCTTTCCTATAAATAAGGAATGAGGACAACAGCTCAGCCACTGTGCACCTCCCTCTCCTACCCAGGATGCCTGGAGACCAACTCAGTCATACAAATTATGATTGTAACAAAATATCTGTGCTGTAAATAACTTATTAAAAGCCAATCAAACCAATGGTTAATGTTGGACCTTGGAAACAGCCGTTTCATCAGATAGCTGCTCTAAAAATTTACGCAGAGTAGCAGATACATAACCACCACCTTCTCTTAAAGAAACTACAGAGCTCAACCTCTGGCCTGCCTTTGCCCACCTTTCCTCTATGAGGATCTCATGTCTTAGCTGAGCTCCCCGCCTGAAACAGACCCCACTCTCCTTGACCCAGGGATGAGCCAGTCCTTGGGTGTCTTCCTGACATAAATTTGGGAGAGTGTGACCCCAGGGCTGTGGAAAGCTATTTTCTCCTTCACATGGAGAAAGTTTCCTGGACTGTGTGGTTCAAATTGCAGAACAGGTATGGGAAGCTGGGGATGAGCAGAGTGGCCAAAGGCAGGCATTTAAGTTTAAAATGCCAGTGAAGTTCTATCAACAGCTACCATTTATTGACTGTTTAAATATCAAGCACTTTACGTTTGGTGAACCATCCCTGTGGGGTGTGAGCAATTCACCCATTTTACAGATGACAACACTGAGGTTTACTGAGATAAAGAAACTTGCTCAATGTCAAGCAGGTAATAAGTGGGGATCTGACACCAGGTCTGTTTGACTCCAAAAGTTGTGTTGCCAACCACCAGACTACACTTTCTTCCTATGACAAGATCTAGAATGTAGCCACAATAGTGGATAAATACTAATCAGAGGAGGAGCTATGGATTACAGACGGCTATCGGGGTCTACTGAATGAGAGCCTGTTTTCTAGCAACCTTGATGTTGGAGGAGAAGGGTGCATGTTTACCTTCCTATTCCTTTGCACACATACCACATCTGCTGCTAAGGATGTTGTGTTCATGTACGTGACCAGAATACCTTTTCTTTTTGATGATATTTATATTTTATTCAGATTGTAAAACAGTTTTTAATTTAAGGCCTTCCTATTTGGAGCCCCAAAAGACTACCCTTTCTTTTTTTTTTTTTAGACGGAGTCTTGCTCTGTGGCCCAGGCTGGAGTACAGTGGCACAATCTCGGCTCACTGCAAGCTCCGCCTCCCAGGTTCCTGCCATTCTCCTGCCTCAGTCTCCAGAGTAGCTGGGACTATACGCGCCTGCCACCACGCCCGGCTAATTTTTTGTATTTTTAGTAGAGACGGGGTTTCACTGTGTTAGCCAGGATGGTCTCGATCTCCTGACCTCGTGATTCGCCCACCTCGGTCTCCCAAAGTGCTGGGATTACACGCATGAGCCACCGTGCCTGGCCAAGATCACTCTTTCTATACCACTGCAGTTGTTGAAGATCAACCTACATGTCAACTCTGTTTTCCTGGAATATTTCAAAGTTTAGTTGCAGCTATTCCTCTTCTAGGCTCAGGTCTGACTCAGCCTGTAATACCTGCATGTGGTTGGAATTATGGAGTGCCCAAGTCCACCCCATTTCCCAAAACATGGTGTGATTTTCACATCAATACAAATAATTTCTCACTAAGTTCACTGTTCTGCTTAACTCCATGAACTCGAGTTCATCTTTTTTATATCCCTTTAGAGTGAGGAACAAGTAAAACTCTCATACATCCATTTATTTCCGATTACTTTAAAAACCCAGTGTAAGTAGGTCCAAGACGGGTGCTTGTATTAGAAATTCCAAAGCATTCAATCATTTCTTTCTCTTCAATACTCATTTATACCTTAAATGTTACATTAGGTTCCTAGTGTCCTCAACCTTGTTCTTAATGAGGTCTCTTTTGTTCTGATGATCACTGGATTCATTACATAATGAGCTACATACTAGAA